AATCACGCGCTCTCTTTTCAGTAGCAATGAGCTTTGCGTCACATTCGCGCGCGCATGACTCGGGCACCAAATGGGCCTCATCGGCTGGAAGTCCGCACGCAGGGCCCTTTCGCTGCGTATGCATAGTTCCCATGCGAAAGGGAGTACGTACTTGACATCGACTGTAGATTTACTCACATTTTGGAATCCAGGGACTCTGAAGATACCCGAAGAGTAGGACAGGGGGAGATTGCTGCGAAAAAATCTCCTGTGAAGCATCGGTCATACCTCGAGCGATTTCGGTGACCACGCTCTTTGGCACTGCTTTGGCACATAATTTTCCGTAAAACGCACCCTAAATAAGCTAGATTCGACATGCACAACTTATGAAATCTGTGTGTGCCAGTGCATTCGAAATCTACGCGCGGTGGATCAGTAACATCTATCAAGTTGCCAAGGGTAGCGATTTCTCGCAATCTCGCGAAGTATAACCAGACCTAAGAGGATAGCCCTAAAACTTGCTGCGAATGCTTCGATATTCTCAATGGATTTGTATTGTGATATTCTCGTATACTACATCACCGCTAGCATTTTTAGTAAGAAACAGCAACCGTCGGAGTTCGCTGAAAATAACAGAAAGAAGGAGTACGAAAAGTAATAAAGAATGACTTGTATATCTTCTAGTTATGGGAAGTATCTGAAGTCAACTTTTGCACACAGCCGGTTTCGGGGCTAAGAAGTATACAGGTGGTGTAGTATTGAAATTCGCGCCGCATCTCCAAAACTTGCTTGAGAGTGGACGAATTTCTCGTACAAGAACAACATTCAACTTACACTTACTGTTAGCTCCACGCGATGAATCTCTCATGCATAACAGTCTGTTCGGCTACGGTAGTATACGGTAGGGTAGCAAGTTTTTCCGGAAGTCGCTGCGGTCTTCATTTTCACAAACGATTGGTACCGCCCTAAGTGATTGACAACTTTCTGGATATTTCTAGGAGAAACTGTAGAGCGCCGAAATTTCCTTTGCTCCATCAATCTCTCTTCTTGTTAACGCAGTTATTCACGCGAATGTAGGAGAAAAGATTACTAAGCAGATCTGCAACCTTATTATTCATTAACGAAATTAGTTGCCCTATCATTAGGTTGCACTTGATTGTTAGGATGTACTTGAGTGCACGCAGGTCTCCAGTGTCGTACTTACATACACTGCGTACGCGAAAAAATGCTTAGCGGGGATAGGGAAAAGTATACCAGAGGTTATAAAATAATTTGCTAGATCAAAAAAATTTACAAAGGCGGCAGCTTATGAAATTGTGAGCGCTACATATGTTGTCGGTAAGTATAAAGGCAGTTGTCAAGATCTAGCGAACGTTGGAGACAAAATTCCAACTAATTTTTTTGCCGTTCATAGTTGAACAAAGTTGTCAGCGAAACGGAATGGTATGCCATGTTCCCTTCATCAGATCACTGAATCATAGTCCCTTTTTAACACCAAACCAGTCTGCGTTGCTTAGCCAAAATCGCATGATTTCAGCTTTAGGAAAGATACAATAGTGAGAGCTGTCCGAACTCACTTGCAACAATTTATGATTTTGTTTCGCTAGGTGAACCATTCCAAGCGTTCGCACCATTTTCAAAAAATTGCAATTTCCTAATTACGAAGGGGTTTGCTTGTATTCGATTAGAGAGGGGAAATCATGCATTTTTCAATGGCTTCTTGATGGTATCGTACAATCCACAAATCCGATGATAGAATTCGAAAAAAAGAAAATACTCCAACTGATTTTACGCGAGCCTGTTGAATCTAGAAACATCGCAAAAGAACCGAAACGGTTATTAGCAAAGGTTTTTTAACCTTCCATTTCTGACTGAGCATAGTTTTTGCTAATCTCAAATGTTCGATAAGTCAAGCAGAACCTTCCGTAAAGTGGTAAGTCACGATTTTCGAAAATGGCGAGGATGAACTTTCGGTTCATCCTATGTAAATTCTCAGATTTCGTAAGGCTATAAGGGGGTCAAACAGTGGCACTATCTATCCCAAAAGACAGACCTGATTCTTTCTTTTGTTGGGTCTTTATAACGTCATTTGTTTGCAACTTCACAGCTGAATCCCAAAAATGACATCAACTAATGAAAAAACAATTTTGAAAGAATACTGCTTCACTTTACGACTGAAACTGCAGATGGGCTTCCACATACGCTAATTGCGATGTGTTATGCAGCAGTCATGGTCGTCTAGCAAAGCGGGATTGAGCAAAATATATCATACAAGCCTGCAAAAAACAAAGCAATAGTGTAGATAAATTTGCAGCTTTTTCGATGCTTATAAATGAGATAATGTAAGCCTAGTTCCAGCAGACCTGAGCCAGTTCAAAAGTTCTAAATTCCTAACAATTGCTTTAACATTTTATGCAAGCTGCAATAACACAGTCTTCAAATTAAGCCACACAAAGTGCTCGAATATTACCTCAGCTGATATCTTGTGGAATATTACCTGCTGCGGATTGCCTTTCCCTTAAAATTATAGAAGCAACCTATCCGTACAATAGCTCGCAAATTCTGCACAAAAAACGCGACGCTCACCTGACAATGAGTTTGGTGATATCACCGCAACGTGGCCGTATCCCGCTCCAGAGGGGAAAATCTGAATTCAAGCACTCTGTCACCATCCGACTTTTAAGGGGAAAAAGGATACCAACAAAAGTTGGCGACTGAAGACGATATGTATATCACTGGACGCGTCTATAAACGCTAATTCCAAATCTGCTTATCTTTTATGCGAAACAACTTTCGGCAAGAAGTGATCGTTTAAATATCCGAACTTGTCAAGCATTGGGTGGCTTAAAATCAGCGAAAAGTTCTAGAAAAACAACTAGTGATTATCCAGCGCTTCATTCCTTCCTTGCAGACTATATACTTGGATCAGATTTGGACAATCGAACGCTAGTATATCCTTTTGAGAAGTTCCGCAAAAAAAAAGAATTTGGAATCAGCATTAGAAGACGCGTCTATTGATATATAGGGCTTATCAAATTGAGTGTCGTTTGCACCAGCATCGCCATCTTCGCGCTGGACTCTGCGTCTCTTCTGCGGCACATGTTCCCTAATCACTTCCAATCGATTGAGGCTCCGCCTTTCTCACGCTCGCCCTGGGAAAGTGCTTAGAGAGCAGCCCCGTGGAAGAGACGCAGAGTCCAGCGCGAAGATGGAGATGCTGGTGCAAACGACACTCAATTTGATAAGCCCTATACATCTTGCCTTTAATCGCCAACATATGTTGGTATCTTTACCTTATTAGCTCAATGAGACGCAATATACGGGGTGTCCCAAAAAATGTATCGAACGTTTGATCTTTAATAACTTCCCTATAAGGAAAGCTTTTACGGATTTTTGAGTGTCATACGGTAGAGCTGGGTTCAACTTAGATTTACAGTATGAGCAATCACAGTTTTCGCTTAGGTACTGAAGGATTACGGTAGGAATTTCCAACTAATTTTAAGCTTACGACAGGCGAGAACTGCTTCCAAAAAATTCCAAAAAAAAAACCGAAAGACGCTAAGTTGAGGTCTTTGGGGATGCTGAATCTAATTACGAAGTTTTCCGCGACCGTACTCCTTATCTTCCTAAGGTATGCGCATGTAACGCTAATTTTTCTCCTTTTTTTCAGAATTTACTAAATCAAAGTTGCAATTACAAACACGTCGTCAAAAGCCCTCGCGCTAGCCCAAAGCGTTACAGTATCTTAGGAAGATGAGGAGTACGGTAGCGGAAAACTTTGTAATTAGATTCAGCATCCCCGAAAACCTCACTTTAACGTCCTTCGGTTTTTTGGAATTTTTTAGAAGCAGTTCTCGCCTGCCAGAAGCTTAAAATTAGTCCAAATTCCTACCGCAATCCTACAGTAACTAAGAAAGTTATTAACGATCAAATTCGATACATTTTTTGGGACACCCTGTATACATGCACTTGTTTGGATACGGTATGTGCACGGTAGACAGCCAGATTTTAAGAATGAATGCCATTATTGCACCATAGGCTAGTCAATGTGCAGTGATCAAGCATTCTGAGTAACCTGCCGTAAGCAAATCTGAAAGGATTTGTGAATTCTAGCTGCTCACCATGCGCCTACCCGAACCAAACAGGCACTTCTATACGTCAAAAATTTCGCCTCGTCGAGCAATGCCATTGGATTCTTCGTCCACTCTGATATGGCCAAGCTGCGGTGAAGCCACCTAACTCAGGTGACCGTCGCATCTTTTTGCAGAATGAGCGGTATTATCTTATGTAGCCACTAAGATACTCGAGATCAATGAGTGTACAAGAGCTGCTCTCTGGAAAAATATGTTAGGCATTGCATGATTCGATTTCGAGGCTCCACAAAAAGGGGGAAGAAAGCGCGACGCAGGATCAAGTACCCTAATTTCACGCGTACAAGGCGCGGGGTGGTCCTAGCTTTCATCGACCAGCCCGAACACGGCAAAGGACTTCGCAACCAAAGGAACCCCGTACTGCGCTGCGTTTTGCCTGAATCGTGCGGCATAAGGATGGCTTCTTAAAACACGTTGGGCCGACTAAGCAGCTCGACGCTAAAGCTAGGACCACCCCGCGCCTTGTACGCGTGAAATTAGGGTACTAGGCTGTCCCAAAGTTTTTTTTTACTTTGATCGGTTACCAAACCACACGGTGGCTGATTGATTGACGATGAAACACTATAAATGTGATAAGTGTGCTCCATTTTCAAACACCAAAAATTTAGCCCACACATTTTGAAATATTTTCGGATCTAACAATAAGCTTAGTAGAGTTAGTGAGTTGTAATTGAACAAAAAGTTGCAAATGTGACACAAAGGCAATGGCTCGACGGATTTTGGAAAAACAAATTCAGGAAAAACCAGCCTATACTTAGTAAAAATTTCGATTATGAAAAAAAAAACTAGGGGAGTGTCTCATTCTACATCGCCTATCTTCTTCATCCAGAAGTGTTCTGCAACCGACACTAGCAAATTTTGAAATTCATTTGCTCTAGACATGCTTATCCATGCGTAAACTGCTCTATGACTCCAGATACCCGGTTGCAACTTCAATAAAAGTGATACAATGTGAAAAATAAGCGAAAATGGCTCGAACATGAGAAGAATTATAGGATGAGACGAATGAATGAAACATAGCAGTATTACTATGAGAAGCAGAATATTTAGCAAATGCTCCACCAATAAAATTGGCATTTAGTGAGCGAAGCTAGCACTCATCAGTTGACATCAGGAAGATTACTGGAATCAGCATCTAAACCTTCAATCAATTCCACATCTGAGAAAGATTCGCGCTCTGAACCGCTTTCGCTAGCCTGAACATCAATATAAGGAAAAAGCAAGATGTACCTCTTCATATTACACTTGCCTCAGACCGAGAAAAGGGAGGAGTGGAGACGTCTGCTTTTTCACAAAGTGCTGATGAGCGATCGGAGTGAACTAAAATTCTCTTCAAGTATATGAACTGGCAAACATGGCACTTGCTAGAGTGCCATGTTTGCCAGTTCATATACTTGAAGAGAATTTTAGCGTAAATTTGAAGAGAATTTAACGTAAAGAACGGAAAAAATGAATTTACCTTCACTTTCGGCGGATGACTGTGCGCTTTCCGCATACATCTCGCTTTTGTCATCTTCAGACTCTGACGTCGACGATGAGGAACTAGCCAATCCATCTTCGCCTAGAGTGCGTTACATCTGACTTTAGAAATTGAAGTATAGAACATTCGTTGCGCACAAAAAGGATCTCATAAACTAAGCCACTTGAAGGATCGCATTCAGATACCTTGCAAGATTTGGAGCACACGTCTTTTTGACATACCATCAAGTTCATCCGACACAAGAAGAATCACATCTTCACGAGAACGACCCTTAAAAGAAAAATGGCAGAGATGGGCTTGTTAACTTCAAAAAATGTGAGACCATTACATAATGCTATCATCTTGCCCCAACTTTATAGCACAAAAAAAAATTCTAAAATTAGAAGGAACACATTTGCCATCAATAAGAACTTTTTCAATCAAGCACGCTTTCACAAACAAACATTGAACCATACTGGAGCATCTACGGCTTACGATACGGATTCGGAAAAAAACATGTGCTAGTACGAGTGCGTAGATTTTCGTAATCAGCAAATGCTGCCAACTTCGAAACTTGAGTTTATGATTTTCAAATTTCTTCAGCTTTTGCATCAAATGAACCAATGGTCAGGTTATAAATGTATCTTATTATCCAAGAATGTACCATGATAAACATAGGTTAATTATGGATGCAGAGAGTTGACATGGAAAATACTTTGAAAAGCATTATTCTCCCTCATGATACGGATTGATAGCTGATGCATACTCAGACAGCGGATAGGACCCCTCCGCCGGAGAAATGGCAGGGTCGCGGCGTATCCCCAGCGGTGGGTCTCCCATTTGTCCGGCGGAGCCCTCCCATTTCTCTGGCGGAGACCTCCCATTTCTGCTCCGGATACCCCCCATTTTCTGCTCCGGATACCCCCCCCCCCATTTTCTGCTCCGGACACCTCCCATTTTCTGCTCCGGATACCTCCCATTTTCTGCTCCGGAGGCCTCCCATTTCTGCTCCGGACCCCTCCCATTTTCTCCGGCGCGGCTCTTCCAAATTTGGCGGACACGCGCCGCGCAGATTTCTGCGGCGCGGAGTCCGTCAAATCTGGCAGAGTCGCGCCGGAGAAATGGCGGACCTTTGCAGCAGGGCCGGAGAAGCCTCCCATTTGCCTGCCAGTGATGCCACCGCGATGGACCGCCCATTTGCCCTTCTCTCATTGGTCAACTGGGTCCGGCGCGACTCTGGCAGTTTCCGAGGGTCCGGCGGAGGGGTCCCGTCGATTGTCTGAGTGAATCTATGTTCATTATCTGCTGTGCGACTCCCTGAACGAGGTCATGGACTTCTTTCCATATTGATTTTGCGAGATTTAGGCAGTCAAAATCGTCAGTCTCCAGGCTTTTAAGACTCTGATGTACTGGTGACAGTTTTCTTGGAGTCAACGTGAAGCTTTCTACCTGTACGATCTTTTATAGCGCGTAAGTGAACATTCTAACAATATTGGTGAATCCTGCATCAAAAACAGTGCAAATTTTGGTGACAAGAAATGTTCATAATTCTTTCGGAAGAGCGCACAGCAGATAATGAAAACAGATTTATAATAAGCGCTTCAAGATGCATTTGATGGTGTACGTTCATTTCAAAAGGCCACAGTCGCCAAGTATCCTTTCCCTGTAAGAAAAAATTTTTCAAAAAAAAGAAGCCATTATAACTAAATAGGCAAGATAGGCCACATCGGCTTCATGTCTTTTATATCATCAGAACAAATTCCTTTGTAACCCATTGCAATTCTTTTTTCATGCTTTGGTAGAGCGAATCCAGGATGGATTCCGGAATCCACAAGTTTCGAGTTATATAGCTATTTCGTGAACAGTATGAGTAGACTAACCCATTAGCGCTCGTTCGTGAACACAGGTGCGTCGGCAGGGTTGACTTACCCAGCGGTAGGCTCAAACCACTGGGTTCGCATACCTATTAGCTTCGTAAATACCGGTATAACCCAGTGGATAGGCCAATCCTTGAGTTCAGTTGATGAATACGGTCAATGAAGGCAACAAAGGCTTTCAAGCGCAGCTCATGTTTCGAATACTTTAGTCATTTTCCAGCAACAAAAACAAACTCAGGAAGTACTCTCCTCTTCCACGATCCTACCCAAAACAGTTTTAAACATCTCAAATTGAGGAGTTTAACAAAAACACAGCAACACAGAAAAGACACCCGATAATCTTCCTCAAGACAAACTCAATTGCTAAACTATAGCTGATATGGTAAATCTCAGCGATGATGTTGCTTGTTTGTGGGTTTGGATATAAAGATTTAACTTATGTTAGATAGGTTTCTTCACGATGCTATACTCAATCGAGATGCTTCCATTTTGCCGCACGTTATATTCAGTGCTAATTCTACCTTGACGCACTTTGGAAGACAGATAAGAATAGTTGTACTGTTAACATAATCACCATATGAATCCCGGCTAAACCCATCACGAAAAAAGAAGTTTAGGCACCTGCAAACATGGTGGCAGCATGGACATAACATCGTGCCATCCTACAAAAGCGACAGCAGTAGATGCAAGTTTTTCATGGTCAGAAATCAGCGACGAAAGTGGGGCTAAAACAAAAAGAGACGGCATTTTTTTTCACGATCTATGAGAAGCTTACTGAAAATGTCGACATCATCAGGTAAGGGAGACCGAGGCGGTGACCTAAAACTTCCTGAACACATGTTTAATGAAAGACGAGCTCTGGAAAAAAACTAGTCTCATACTTTTTTGCATTGCTTGAGGATCGCTTACCACGAGAAGATCGCACCTGAACGACATTGTAATTAAAACAACTACGAAGTTTTGATTACATCCCATAGCGAACACAGAAAACGCCATGGGCACAACTATTTACCAAATATAGATACTTACGAGAATATAGAATTGGCTTAATCTCTACCTTTTTACGAGACATCGCCCTAAGTTTTGAAAAGCTTTTCAAGGAACCCGCGGACCGAAACTGAGACGTCGAGTAATGAAGTGTGCGCTGCAGAAACTTGTTATTATACGTCTCATTATGAATGCGATGATGATTCCATGGAAACTGCTGAACGCTTTCGGCTTCAGCCACTTATGCTGAGAAGAGAGATAATTATAGTCATTTGTTAACGTGTAAATTTTCAAAGGCAATTCCATTGAGGCTAAAAGCTGCTGTAAAGGAATGTCGTCCACAAATTTAGCAAAGGTTCAAATTCCTCAGTGGGCTCCGCTCGCCAGTTCGATTGGGTGAAATTTTTCCAGTGAAAGGTCTCTTATTTCGACGTAGCGGGGAGAATCTAAATGATAGAAATCCGCCTCTACAGGCATATATCCAGCAAACATCAAAATTAGTGCTAAGGTACGACGCTGGCTTCACACATCGATATAATTCTAAACGGAAAGCGCAATGTATGGAAGTTAATGGATAGATTTGCTCCAACTTAAAATTTAGGACTGACAGAAATTTGTCCTGCTTCTCTGGTCACGCGCAATTTTTTGTGCACGACTTTATGCCTCATTTACCATCTTCAAAGTTCACCACATCAATTAGACTTGTCGCATTTCAAATGTTCTAGTGCCTGAAATGAATTCTAAGAACAAGTTTGCGTCGAGTGCAGAGAGTACCTAGGTTTACTGTTGTTTCGTAGTTATGAACAGCTTTAATTCAAGGTTTCTTTTGATTCAAAGTATGTAGATCTTCTGCGTCAAATGCAGATTCCCGAATATCCTTCATTTTCTTATGCTAGTCGAAGCACGAGCAGCTCCCGCGTCCTCCCGCCGACTGCAAAGGGCAGTACGGGCGCAGCTCGTGTTTTCCGCATGTTGCAACGCCGCTGCGGCTCTGCAGAAAATGCGCAGCGCCATCTCAGCGGACATCTGAGCTCTGCGCAAGCGAGGCGGAAATAGAACAAATCGCATTTTCCCACACTTTTTTGGAAATTATCGCATCCACACCTGCTCTGTCTGTCATTCGAACCAGCGATCAATTGCACACGCCGTCGCGACGCGACCGCACGCACCCCAAATCCCAGCGACGTCGCTGCTACTGCGAGCGACTGATTCAACTTCCTATTCAGTTTTTGTCTTGTTAGGAGGCTTTTTGACTGCGCTGCGCGTTGCAGAGTGGGCAGCCGCCTCTGGACAGATATGGTTTGTGACGTTGTGTTGTGGCGCGTGTTACTTCTAGTTTCGAGCGCATCCAAGGCGACCAAGCCTTATGCAAAGCTCGTTTCTGAACTTATTAACTCCCCTTGAATGGGAGTTACTGCGATTTGACTTGGTAGTCGAATTTGCACCGCTTCAGATATGCTTGTTTGTGGGTACTTGGTCATAGATAGTCAATTTTGGAAGAAACGACACCAGTCACTTTCTCAACTCCTCCTATGAAAACAATCTCATCACTTAAGGGTCCTCGCTTTATATGAGGGCTCGTAAACGGAACTTCTCGCAATGATATATCAGACAAACACCGGAATTATAGCTTACAACTAGAAGCAGTCAATGAGGGGCTGCATCTCAGTGCATGTCTGACGTAAGTCACTATTTTCTCTGCCCGTCCGCATTTTTGAGCTCAAGTGGTTTATCCATCTCTGTGCTTTTCCGAGAAGAGACGTGTTCGTTTACGCTTCTTTTGCTCTGTTACATTTGCTTTGCTCGATTTCTCCGATCTGTAAAGCTAAACCGTATGCTGTACGTTTGGGAGTATGACTTTTGCTGCCATACGTAATCTCCACAGATTTTCATGAACTGACCCATTATCGTAACCTGTTTGATTGAATGTGCAAGGATTCTTGCAATGACATTATGCTGTTTCTAGTCACTTTGCTATCTTCACCAAACTTCGGGTAGAAATCCACAGATAATGGATCGGAGAAAACGGAAGTCTACGCTCGATAACTACATAGATAGTCTCACTGATCCACCGGAAAAGCTGAAGAAGATCTCGGAATTCTATCAAAGCCTTCGACAGTTCTACAAAAGAAAATGGTTTGATCATAGTTGAGTCCCCTATGTTTTATCAAAATGATAATGGATTCAGGAATGCTCCGCTGAGGCTACCAACGGTTCAAGGTGTGGAAGTAAATCTCTACCGACTTTATGATACCGTTATGGCCTTGGGAGGCTGGCAAAAGGTGAGTTGCTTCTTATGTTGATGCAAACTGTCAAAACGCCCTTACAGGTGGCAATGCAGGAGAAGTGGGCTGATGTAGCGGAGATGCTTGGCCTTGGGGATGATGTGATTGGAGGAGATCATGCGATCAAACTTCTTTACATGAGGTGAGAAATAGCATAAAATCTAACCGTGGTGTTTCCAGTTATCCTTTTTTCTGCCAGTCCTGTTCCTTTTTTCTTTGAGTAATTATTTCGATATCCGTCCGCGAATTTTTTTTGCTTTGCAATCTGGACGTGAATGTCACTCTCGATTTCCTGATACAGTATCATAGTAATTTGCACTAGTATATTTTTATCGAATCGTCTTGTTTCGTCCTTTACCTGCCAGTCCTTTTTTTTAGAATTTTTCGGGCAACTTGTTCGTGCGGGCGGATGAGGCTATGAGCGTGCAGTATACGACCTATTAATGGCAGTAGCTCTGGGTCTGCGACTTAATGCTTTTTGAGAAGTTGTGTCAACTGTACCATGGTTGATGTAAATATGATATACCGTCTGCGCTCCAGAGAGGTTCCCATGTGAACCAGCGTGCGTACATGGTGCGACGCTGCCTTTTCGCTCTTTTTGACACGTTTCTCCTGAGGCCCTGGCCAGACTTCGCTCAAAAGCGCCCAAAAGCGCTCAAAAGCTCGCAAAAGCGCCCAAACTTCTCTAACCTCTCCTCACTCTCTCTCATCTCTCCTCACACGAGAAAGTGAAGAGACACCAGAGAAATTTGGGCGCTTTTGGGCGCTTTTGAGCGAAGTCTGGCCAGGGCCTGAGATTTCAACGGAAGTGCCCGAGGTTAACATGTTCAAAAGTGCGAAAGGCAGCGAGATGACGTGGTACCTATGGGAACCTCTCTGGGGCGCAGACGATAGGCATTGACGGGCGCTCTATACTGCTTGTTTCATCAATACTACCCACTATCACCTTGGAAAACTTTTTGATGAGTTCTGTAAAGCACATATTGCTACCTTCTGACCGCAATCAAAGAAGTCGTTCCCATGGCACGCCTGAATTCGGTCACTACCAACTACATCCGCCATTAACTGTAGTCTCAAAGCTAAACGAATTCCAAGCAGTCTATTTCCGGCACTCTTGGAACCACCCTGGAAAGGGAAAGGTCTTTTGCATACTTTTAGAAAAATCGGTCTTGAATTTTCGTGTATGTTACTCACGATTTAGATACCTTTCCAAATATGAGCAAATCGAGACCATTGGTGATATTGATGACATGCTGGACGGCGAAATGTCGCGCTCTCGTGGGAGGCAAAGCTCGTTTTTTGCTACGAATGACTGTCCAATTGGAATGGGACGTACACATGGTATGTTGAGCACAATCGCTTCACCAGAATCAGAAGATAATATTCTCTTCATTTTCTGTTGTGAAGCCTGTGGTGACGCTTTGTATCAAAATGTCTTTCAAAGCGCTATCTCAAATCCCCTCCATTGTATCGCAAAAAATTCGCTGCAAATCACATTAACAGTGTTTTATTGCATGATCTGTCTCATCTAGCTTTTAAGAATATATACGTCGAGACGAACGAGGAAATCCCTCAACAGAGCCTGATTACGGTAGACTTTCAAAGTCACTCCTGAGTGGTTTACCCAACGAGGTGAGAGTTTTTTCTTTATAGGTTTTCAGCGGAATTCAGTCTGTCCAATGTAGGTTGATTTTGCAATGAACGTATGTACGTTACTGTCCCATCCCGGTCCTCGTCTGCTCAGACTTAGCCATGCACCCAACATGATCACACTTCTCGTTGCTCATTGTGGCATTTTTGACGACGGTTGGTTTGAGACTTTTCGTTTTATCGTACTAAGTTGTCTGTCATTGGTTACAGAGGACGAAGATCTATCGGATCTTGCCAAAGTATGGCGCGATAATGGTGGACGTGACTTCACTTCATTTTGGGCTTCAGCAGGAATTCCTAACGACTTGCTCGAAAAGTTCGCTCCTCAAGCAGTAGGAAAAGTGGTCGTGAGTCATCATTGTTTGGCCCATTGCAGGAATTTTGGCTCATAAGTGTTGTTCTTTTTAAGGATCCCGATAGTGATATGCTCACAGGCTTGGTGAAGGAGTTTGATGTGAAAGATCCTATGTCTTGGAGGATTAATCAGGTGACAACAATAGTGCTGCGTTAGACCTTCTCATATAGTTTGTTACAGGTTTCGACTATTGTGAGAAACTTGTCATTTGAACCAATCAATCGTGTGACAATGTCTCAGTGTTGGCCGCTGTTCAGGTAATGCAATCTTGACGTTTTCACCTACTGCATTTATGTTCTTTTTTTTTTTCAGAAGCGTTTAACAGCATTGAAAAGTTTTGCCTTACAGATTCTTGTTTCTATGCGCGACCAGCAAATGGGCACCACTTTATACGGCGGCTTTGGACACATTAAGCAATCTAGCATGCGATGTGAGCTATCAGTGCTGAAAGTACACATTTTCTTTCATTTTTTTAAAGATCTGTTTTTGTTCCAGATAGACTTAACGTGGCAGAAAATGGTCCACTGCGCTGACCATGCTCTCCTCCGGATTGTTAGAGAGGGAATCTTCAGCACTGACAAATTTAAAGTCAGTGACATCCACCTAGAAGCGTATAAACTACACATCAATTTTTGCAGCTTATCCGTTCGATGGAAATTCTTACTGCTTTATGCAGTTTTGAAGGGAATGAGGCCACAATATGCGATTTTCTTGACCGCAAGATCTTTGAGCATATTCTCAACATTGTTTGCATCAAAGACATAATGATGTGTGTCTATACCCTGGAATGTTTATACCAAGTAAGTTGCATTATTTTTGTTGTGAGCGTCCAACTTGTGTGTATGATACAGATCATTTCCATGTTTCCTTTGAGATTTCCGAAATGGGAGATGTTGCGTGTCAACTGCTTGCTGAGTTGCCTCGAGCCATTACTCAACTTGTGTCTATGGCTACACTTGAAGCTGTCAGCTTCGGGCCAGCCGGACTTGCTGGTATGAAAGTGGTGGAGTATCAGCCAACCCATATGGTAAGCTATGTTCAACAATTTTCGTATCCTTTTTTGTATCATGAGCAGCTAGTAGCTCTTCATTAACTTAACCCTCAATGTTCCACAACAAAAAAGTTGTTGTTATTGATCTCACTAATATGATCATATCATCATAACCAAAGTGATGTTATCAAATTCGCATCCGAAAAGCAACCACTGTATGATAGTTTGTTGATTGAAATGTAGTGATAATGTGTTGCAGGTGCTTTTTTTAATTTTAGTCGATCGGGCTCTTGTCGTTGATTATTGTTAATCACAGTTGTAAGAACAGTTTAGACTGACAAATATATGCATTATGTATGATGTGTTAAACGGTCGTATGTTAAATGTGGCTCACTTTATCTTCTCCAGGTGCAGCCTCACCCTCAGCAGCATGGCCAGTATGCTGTTCAACACCATCAAGCGCAGCAAATACAGCAGGTGCATATTTTAACCTTAGGATCTTCTTTGAAGTGGTTCTTTTAGACGAGAGTGCTTTATTCTGGAAGCACGCAGATTGCTGCCCCACCACAACAAATGCGACATCTTGTACAGCAGCAGCATATGCAACATCAACAGAATGTTCACATGCAACAAACTCAACATCATGTGTCTGCTATCCCGCAAACGCCAAGGACTCATTTTGCTCCTGCAAGCCAGGTTGCTGGTGTAGCTCCTGCCGTAACAACTGGAACGGAAAATAAGGTATATTGTGTAGTTCCTGGGACTGTGCCATGTCATGAATCTCTAGGTCGATCAATTAACTGAACAGTGGATCCGACAAAACTGCATCCTTGACCGTAATTCTGTTACACCACGAGGAGAGCTTTACGCAGCCTACGTTGATGATCTACGTAATCAGTATCATTCACTTAGTGGCAGCCTTGCAATGTTTAGCAACGTAATGAAGTGAGTTTGAGCTTAGAAAACTAATGACAGCAGTTGACGTGTCGCATTTTAGGAGTATCTTCCCTGAGCTGGTGTTCAGAATGGCTGACAATGGACTGATGATGGTTGCCCAAGGTATCCGATTGGTCAAGCCTCATAGTGAGTCATTTTTTCTGCATGGTCTTACATCTGAAATGGTTTTGATACAAATCATCGCCCCTTCATTTCGTGCATATTAAAGGGCTTGCACCTGCTGCCTCCGCTCAAGTTGTGCCGGGGACTATCGCTATGCCTCCTAATGTGATACCTAGTGTGATCGCTACTCCCATTATCCCGTCTGCTCAACCACCGCAGCCTCCTCCTCACTCTGCGACTATCGCTGCACATCCTTTGATGAAGCAGATCCTCACGAAAAACGCCCAAGCGTCTTTGGTGAACGGAGTGAATGGTGTAGCGACGTGAGTGTTTTAGAAGTAATGATGTATATTTGGGGTCAATGCCATCATGTTCAGAAGCAATCCATCGTCGCGTTGCGCTTCTCCTGCTGTACAAAGCAATGTTGAGGTATGCTACTGATATAATCTTACTATGCCTTTGTTGGTAATATTTTTTTTCTCTGGAGCACAAAGAAGAAGACCAGCAGAAGGGTGTAGTTGCTAAGGATACTAGTGATCCTAAGAATAAAAGCAATGGCCAGAATGGAAAGGAGCAGAACGGTACGGCTACATCAGAAGAGGAAGCGAGCGACGATGAGAAATCCACGTCTCGCAAAACCTCTACGAGACGGAGTTCAGAATCAGTGCTGCAGAGTTTGGTAAATGAACTTCTCTTGACCTTGTTCAGTAAAAGCTTTGCTTCTGTGTATTTAACACGTTGACGACCGAGCCATTTTTGACCACCTCAAAATGGACTGATGATCTACGCCTGCGGTTTGGACTGTTTGACACCTACTGCAATGCCGTGTGTTCTATATGACAACCAGGCCACCAGTGTTACCACTGCATAGAAGTTACCTGAGGACTTTTCGTTTACACATGATAAATTGATGCACGAAAGTGCTAAAAGGTGGCTTGGGCGTGCATACGCGCGGATGCACACGGTCGTCAACGTGTTAATGTCACCGAATCTCCTTTTTGCTTACTGAATCTCTTCCCTAAAATAGTCTTTTCCCCTTTAACATAAGTATCCCCTTCTGATCGTCAGCCATTCACTATTAACACGTTTCGGACTGGTGCTGCACATGGTGCAGCACGCTGCTTTGAAGGATCCTTTTAACGTTTACAGGAGATTTTCTTCAAGTCCAAGTTGGTAAGTCAAAGGTCTAACAAGGTCTTGTAAGCTCCTACTTCTCAAATGACTCTATAGAGCTGTGCCGCCGAGATCTGTTTAGGAAATATGAGAAAAATCGAACAACAGTTGCAACAGAGCGCGGCAACGCGAACGACGCGTGCGATGTCGCACTTCCCTTTGCTTCGATAGTAAAGAAAAACCGTAATTTTCATAATGATGCGTATCATGTACAAAGTACATACTTTTGAATACTATTTGAAACTGAGTTCTTGTTCCTAATTTTCAAAAAAGCAGAAAAGTCCCTCTAAAGCAGCAAATTTCAAACACTTCAGATTCACTCAGAATTCTGGGTACGAAGCTTATCTGATATCCTAATTACAGATGTAGCCCATAGCCTGCGAAATAAGGTCCCTTTGTTGGCTAACGGCTGAAAGTACACTCTTTTTCGCCGCGCGCGATTTCGCGGTCCGAAACGTGTTAAGCTTCGAGACAGCTTTCACTAGACGCGTTTATGTTTCACTTAGAAAAATTTGCTGGAAGCTGAAATTTTTAAAAAGTTCTTTTCTGATTGTTGCCAAAGTTTTTTTTTTCCTTCTTCGTATTACTCTTTACAAACCTTAGGCTGTTCTTTTTTGCAGATCGAGCCAACAGCTGAGTACATGTGTGAATGGGACGGTTGCGCTGCTTTATTCGTTACCGCTTCTTCTGTCCTTTCACATGTTGCCAAAGAACACGTTCTAGAGCACGGTGAACAGGTCTGTCAATGGCCTGGATGTGATGGAACACTCAGGAGCAGGTAGAACTTCTGACTGCGAAAACTAGCTCTCAGATTGTCGGTTATTACAGATGGTCACTGATAACGCACGTTCAAGATCATCATGCCAATGAAACAGTGCTGAAAATGGCTCTGCAACGGAGAAGGTTTGGAAATATTTGATACAACTTACTTTTTTTTATCACATGCTGTTCTTTGTTAGAGATGGGCTTGCTCCCGCTCTGCCGATTCGATATAAACAAGAGCTACCTCGAGAAGTCCCGCATCATCCCGGCTATAGCAAGCATGCGGCTATAGAAGCGATAAGAAGACACGCATTCAACTTCCTCCCTCGGGATATCACGGTATGTGTTTATTTCCTGTTTGCCAATAGGCTGTCCTACATCTCTACCACAAAGATAAGCCTTCTTGTCATATATTTTCTCACGACCAGCGTTCCGCATATATGGTGTATCTTATATCCATATGCCGGGCGGCATGTATGTGAACAGTTTCGAACTTTGTAGGAGCAGTCCATTAAATAGAGTTGTGGGAAGTTTATGAGCATCATCAGAAGTCTGTCGTAGTCTTCTAACAAACCGCTGCGAGGAATTCTCAGAGCTTTCCAAGACCACCTTTGGTCAGTACCGCTGTCAAGTTGACGCTGTTACTGCTGTAACCATTGTCGTCAATGTATGGGTACTTACGGTTGCCACTCTCCCGCTTTGAATTCATGATCGTCTTGCGTTTTGTTTCATGTGTGCAATTGGGAGGGAGGTCGTAAAAAGGCTGTGATAGTCACTGGCTTGGATCGCACGCTGAAAAATGACACTGCTATGATCCTTTATTCAAAGTGGAACAACGATAACGGCTTTGAGGATGTCGCAGTGATGAACGGTAACAGTGGTAACAGCGGTAACACAGATAACAGCGACAGTGTATGCCGAACCTTAACGAGGGTGTAGTCCACTCTCCCACAGTACATTCCATTCGTGTTGCTCCATGAATTATGCAGCGATCGGAAATGCTTTTTAACGGATCCGTTGGGCTTCGAGAATCCTCTTTTAGGATGAGCCGGAAGGTCCAGTCACCAAGAGTATCCGCTTGACTAGCTGTTTGATACTAAGAAACCTCGCTCGATATTCCGCTACCGGAAGACAGTAAGCCTTTTTGGCGCTTTTCTTTTATGCTTTTCATATCGTTTGTACTTAGTTTACTGCGACGACATGAACGCCATCTGTGTTGGTTGGCATTGTCACGGCTAGAAAGCAGTCATGCACTAGCTCAGCTTTTATCTGAACTCCACGAACAGGATACTCTACCAAATTCACAAAGTTCAGCACATCTTCCTCAGCTCTGCCAATCTCATGCATCTTGAAAACCATTGCTGATTGTCCAGTCAATAACCGCCATCTCCTTGCGGCGAGCTTTGAACTTTGCTTTTGATTTGATCTGCAGTCAAACTGTATCATATGGAATCTTTCTATCTGCCTGTACCATCACATGCTTAAACGTTTCTGTGAGAACAGTTGATTTTAATTAAATTCTGCTTTTCACGTTGCTTTAAATCCAGCTATATCCAAATACAAGTAGTCTCTCCACTCACTTAACGTACGTGTTGATTGTGTTCTTTACATAACTCCACTGTAATATTCTTCTACTATTAGCTCGGCGTTCGAACATGTTTCTTATGTGACTTCCACGGGTATATTGTCAACGCAAACTTTCTAGCCGAGTTTTAGGGCGTTATGCAGTGAGCGATTTTGAGTGTGGAGAAGTTTTTGAGAAAGCTTGTAATTACTGAATAATCGAATTGGCAGCTCGCTACTTCGCTCACTGATCATAAGCCTTTCTAACTCTTCATATGCTGATTTTTGTACCTTATGTCGTGCTGATTCTCCCATCTTTTTACTGATCAGATTGTGCTGCATGGTTGTAAGGATTTTATGGCTTGTTCACATGGAAGCTGCTTTGTAAAGTACTTGACCAGCTGTCCAGAGCTATCGTCTGTTTGTATGGCTTTACTAGCAGGACAGTTCAGATGTATGTTTGAAGGCATTTTCTTTGCACTAGAGGCCAAATCGTACTTAAATGTCAGTTTTAATTTATTTTTGCCAAACGATGCCAAGCTCTGTCATCGTTAAGCCTTGTTTCGTTTTTGCCGTTATAAAAATAAAATTTGTTTTCTATCAAGTCTCTTATTTGAATCAAGGATGTAGCATTCCATTCTACTGAAAATTCGAATTTGGTTCGTAATCGTGATCATCTTGATGCTCCAGGAATACATGGTCAGCAAAAAGAATATCGTTTATTATTATCATCCTGAGGTCGGGAATTTCCATTATGGTAATTTTTGCCGTTTTTGATGTTGAATATGGAATAGATTTATCTCAATAGGTCCGCGTCATCCTATGAAACCACACCGGTTGGCTGCTTTGAATAATCTTGTTGTACATTATGAACTTGACAAGAAAATGGAAATGCGTCTTAGTCCAAGGGCGAATGCCGTTGACATGAGGTTTGGGTTTTCTTTTCGGTTGTCTTCGTCTTTTCTTTGCTTTGCAATCAAAGTATGGTACCATCTACACCATACTCGAAGAATGATCGCACTTGCCAAGAATTTCAGAATTGATCCTCAGAATGTTAGCGTATGATATATCTGATGGAACTTTAGGCGTTTCCACTCGAAGGAATACGTGGATTTTTTGGAGAAGGTTTCTCCGCAATGTGCTGAGCAGTATGAAAATATGTTTTCTACATTCAATATTGGCGAGGATTGGTGCGTTCGAGTCTTACTTTCATCAAAATCTCGGCTGAATTGAAATGACCTCGCTGCTTCATTTTAGTCCTATTTTCGAAGGGATTTTCGAATTCTGTTCGATTTATACTGGAGGATCCTTGGAAGGAGCTCAGCGATTGAATCATAAAGTTTCTGACATTGTTATCAACTATGCAGGAGGACTTCATCATGCCAAAAAAGTGAGGCAGTACGCCAATTTTCAGCCCCGTTTGCTAATTTTCAGCTTGTAGCATCCACTGATCAAATTTCTCATAGGCTGAAGCAAGCGGGTTTTGTTATGTGAACGATATCGTTATCGCCATATTGGAATTGCTCAAATACCACAAGCGGTAAGCTATCTTGTCGAGGAGCGACGCACCAGAGTACGCTGGTTCTCTTTCAGGGTACTTTATGTGGACATTGACATTCATCATGGAGACGGAGTGCAGGAAGCGTTTTACTTCACAGATCGGGTAAGCTTCATTCTCATTGTTATGTCCATATGGGTAGGCACTTCACAGGAGACACTTTTTGTTGCAGGTGATGACAGTTTCATTTCACAAATATGGAAGTCTGTTCTTTCCTGGAACAGGAAGTATTTATGATCAGGGGTTGGGCGCTGGACATTACTTTGCTGTGAATGTGCCTTTACAACAGGGCATTGATGATGATGGTAAGCTATCTCTGGGTTTCTACAAAGAGTAAAATGAATCATGTCACAGACTATCTTTCCGTCTTTCGCCCAATCATAGGGCAAGTGGTGGAAAGCTTCCAACCGGAGGCTATAGTCTTGCAGTGCGGAGCAGATTCTCTTGGCTGTGATCGACTCGGTTGTTTCAATCTATCGTGAGTTTTTCTGTCTATCCGAGTTCCAAGGCGCATCTTTCATTTTATGAAGGTTTGCAATTTACTGTAATCTTTTATGAGTTGTTTTGAGCATTCGTCGTGATCGAAAATGGCGTTTTTTGTCTACAGATGATATAAACTTCGCTATTCATGCATAACAAGGGCTCACCTGTTAAAGTTCTCTTATGTATTAGTTCCTTAGGGCCGCATGCACTAACATCCCCGCGGGGAGGGGATCGCAGCTCAATAGAAAGCTTCATATTCTGAAGCCCCAGATATCTAGATTTCACGTTGTGTACCCATCCATAAGTATTCCTACTACCCTTCACTATGAACACATTGAACAGGAGCGAGAAGCTGCCAAGCCGCATTTTTCAGCTTTTGTATGATCCCTGATGATCCCCGGCGCTTTTCTTTGAAGTCATTTTTCTTTCTCCATAGTTAACAAAAAGCTTTCAAAGTTGTGCATAATATCTAATCCAACACTGCTCAGCATGTTGCTGATAAAAACAAGTGATGTACCGGAATCATGAAATTTGCGATGAACCACAGGTCGAAAATTGGAGTTCACCGAAAATTCCGAATTTTCAAAAACTCATTTGTTCTCATCAGTAATATGCTTAGCACTGTTGTGTTAGATAGTCAGTACAACTTTGGAAGATTTTCGTCAACTTCAAAGAAAGAAAAATGACTTTGAAGAAAAGCGCCGGGGATCATCAGGGATCATACAAAAGCTGGACAATGCGGCTTGTGCAGTTTCTCGCTCCTTTTCAATGTGTTCATAGTGAAGGGTAGTAGGAATACTTACGGATGGGTGCACAATATGAAATCCAGATATCTGGAGCTTCAGAATATGAAGCTTTATTTTGAGATGCGATCCCCTCCCCAGCGGAGAGGCTAGTGCATGCGGCCCTTAGAATATCAATATATTCGCATTAAAATGTCCTTGAAGATTGTCCTATCGAAATCGTCTTCTCTACATGTCTCATTCGTCATTGCAGCTACATTTGAGCAGCCGCGCAGGACTTGATTTCTCAGATATGTTCCCATAAACTGATCTTTGTCGAAAGCTTAAAATTTTAGTTTTGTGAGATGCATTCAGTAGTCTTTTGACGCGGTTAACTTTACGTATATCTCGGAGAATACGGTGACCACGGATTCGTATGCCTAGCATCTAGCTTTTGAGCACGCAAAAAAAAGTCCGCACTTATTGAGAAAAATCGTATAGACGTAACTAACCATTAAATATGTCAAATTATAGTTGGAACCGAGTATTCGGATTCGAATAATTTATTCGAATAGTCGAATATTCGAGAAAGTCCATTTATTCGCATATTCGAATATTCGAATAAATGAAAAAGTCCATTTATTCGAATAATTCGTTCATTCGACAACTCGGAAAAATGACGCATTCGAATATTCGAGGGGTTTCAATGACACTTTCGAATATTCTAATATTCGAGAAGTTTTGGAAAACAATTGTTCGATTATTCGAATATTTGAATACTAGCTGGCTTACCCGGCTCCGCCGTATCCGGACAAAACTTGGCACACATACACTTCGGGCCCCGGCGGGTGTCACAGTCCACTTTTCGTTATCGATCGATGTCGATTTTACCGATTTTTATCGATTTTTTTGCAGAGTTCACTTACAGGGCTAGGAGTTGGCACAGGGGGGAAGTGAGCATGGGGATTCCGACTGGGATTTTGCACAGGGGGGTAATCGAGCATGCTGATTACGAACACAATATTAGTTTTCAGGATCATCCATTACTTTTATCGATTTTATCGATTTTTTTGTAAAGTTTGACCTGCGGGGCTGGGAGTTTGCGCAGGGGGTAATCGAGCATGCAGATTACGAATACAGTATTAGTTTTCAAGATCGTCCATTACTTTTATCGATTTTATCGATTTTTTGAAAATTTGAGCTAGGGGGCTGGAATTTGGCACAGGGGTGTAATCGAGCATGCTGATCACCCCCCTTGGGGATGATCAGCATGCTCGATTACCCCCCTGTGCCAACTCCCAGCCCCCTAGCTCAAACTTTGCAAAAAATCGATAAAATCGATAAAAGTAATCGATAATCCCGAAAACCAATATTGTATTCGGAATCCCCATGCTCGATTACCCCCCTGTGCGAAATCCCAGCCCCGTAGCTCAAACTTTGCAAAAAATCGATAAAATCGATAAAAGTAATCGATAATCCTGAAAACCAATATTGTATTCGGAATCCCCATGCTCGATTACCCCCCTGTGCCAACTCCCAGCCCCGTAGCTCAAACTTTGCAAAAAAATCGATAAAATCGATAAAAGTAATCGATAATCCTGAAAACCAATATTGTATTCGGAATCCCCATGCTCGATTACCCCCCTGTGCCAACTTCCAGCCCCGTAGGTGAACTCAGCAAAAAAATCGATAAAATCGATATCGATCGATGACGAAAAGTAGCCTATGACACCCGCCGGGGCCCGTAGTGTATGTGTGCCAAGTTTGGTCCGGATCGGTTCAGAAATGGAATTTTCTATTCGGAACATACGTACAGACAGACAGACATACAGACAGACATACAGACAGACATACAGGCAAACAGACATTCAGCTTTATATATAAGATTGCAATCGACTATTCGAATATTATACAGGGTGTCCCAAAAAGATGTGCATACTGTTTGATCGTTAACAACTCTCCTGCTTTCCTGTTTTTTGCCGAGCTTAAGGTGTCATTCTGTAGACCGAGGTTCAACTTAGATTTGCTGTGTGGAGCGAATGACCGATCCTTCTTCATTACTGTAAGATTACGGTAGGAACTTCGAGGAGGATTTTAAGCCATTCAAAGCGGTATTTTCCCCGTAGTTCGCCTTAGAAAGAAAGCCAAACAAGCCAGAAACTCTTGAATGGGCTAATCGAAGCCCCTGAGTCTAAATATGAAATTTTGCACTTCAGTATAGCGCTTCTTTCATAAGTTATTTCAGATTTATCGTAACGACTGTTTTTCCAATGTCCATCAGAAATGTGAATACGCCATCAAGAAAGCTCGAAAAACTCATGAAAAGTCATGTCGTGAAATCAGCATGCCTGAAAATCTTGCTATACAAATTTTCAGATTTTTTTGGAATTATTTCATGAAAAGGCCTATCTCACAGTGACGCTGTATGCTGGAATTTCATACCGTAATCCTACAGTAATGAAGAATGATTGGTGATTCGCTCCACATAGCAAATCTAAGTTGAACCTCAGTCTACAGAATGGCACCTTAAGCTCGGCAAAAGACATGAAAGCAGGAGAGTTATTAACGATCAAACAGTGTGCACATCTTTTTGGGACACTCTGTATATTCTAACAAGTTCAGTTATTCGAGTATTCGAAAATTCGAAATTTGGGGTGGGTTAATATTCGTTCGAATTCGAATAGTATGAAATCGGTCGAAGGATATTTGTTCTTTCAGAAATTTCGAAAACCGATTACTCGATATTCATTCGTTCAAAAGTATTCCAAATTCTGTTATTCGATGTTTGTTCGTTCGATGAAAATTCCCGTTCCTTACACTATATGCCAAATCATGTCTCTCCGAAAGCCCATAGAATGTGCCCTATGCTCGTTCTGTGGCCATGTTCATCAACGAACCTAGTGAGCTTGACCCAGGGTTTGCTAACCGGCTGGGTAGAATTGATACAACTGCTGCATTGGATTCGCAAACCATTGGCTTCTTGGTTCTCTCGCTGCGTTAGCACTAGTCAACCGAAAGAAGTTGTTCCCTTGAACGTGAAATTCAAAGGAGCGTTAAGACTCCCTTGGTTATCAGTGGGTAAAGCCTACTCAGTGGGTTTTGCAACCATCTGGCTTCATTAATAAATATGCCATTCACTGCTTATACCGGTAGACCTCTATCTTCTGGGATCCTTACACTTGTCTTTCCAGATTCGACGGTCACGCTGAGTGCGTTCGATTCATCAGAAGTCTTGGGATCCCCATGCTCGTTGTTGGCGGCGGAGGATACACGTTGCGCAATGTCGCTCGTTGTTGGGCTAATGAAACTGGCGTGCTTGTGGATGTGGATCTGCCTAATGAAATCCCTGAAAATGCAGGTTAGTCATCTTTCCAATGATTACTTCTGCCTACGTAATTGCTCCAATTTCCAGAATATCTACCGTTTTTCGAGCCAGAGTTTACACTGCGACCTGACCTACCCAAGCGTGCTGACAATCATAATACGAAGGAAGTATGTGCATCATATTTCTTTTTAGGAGTCAAGAATAATACCATTACAGTTCCTTGCTGCTCTTCGACAAGAAATAATTGAGAACCTACGACAAGTAAAAGGCGCTCCTTCTGTCCAGATGATGCCAATCCCTGAAGACATGTTAGATAACGACGTAGCTCTGTATGAGCCTGAGTTGGGCGATGAGGAGAGGGGCAAGGATCATGAAGAAACGAACACAACATACTCCGGGATGGAATCATAGCCATAGTTTCATACTAGTGTCGTAAATGTGCATCATCTCAACACTATATGATTTTGTTCTCAAGCATCTAATCGGGTATTCTCCTTCAACATAGTGATCTGATCATATTATTTGGAAATTGACATGTTTTAATAACTGAAAAAGAAATAAATCGGCTCTCGCGCTATTTCTGTTTGGTAGAGCAGACACCATACAGCAGACAGCAGATACCACACTTGAGTCTTTCGCGTTGATTTAATGTATGTTCTCGCTGCTCGGTCCTCTTTTTTGGAGTAACTTGATTGCAATAAGACCGTGATTTACTGCCGCATGCGAATGTCCATGTTCAAAATTGAAATCACCACTCTTAGCTAGATTTCTTAGGCTCAGCTCGAATGTACATCAATGAAGGTTCGTCCGCTTTGTCCTACAGCGACTGCAACCGACTAATGCAGGACGATATTGTTGATTTTGAGCAAGAACGCTATTCAGTCTCGATCTCGACAAGTCATAAGAAATGACTTATCATCAAAAGTGTCAGACTTTTCACTTTAAAGCGGCGGGGACGGGAATTCGTAAAAAATGAGCTCGACTATAGAGGCCTCCACTCTTTTCAAACACTTGAAGTTGGCTGCTGTCTTTGTCAAGCAGACCTGCTAACGGAAGGGATTATTTCAATCTGATCAAGGTTCAGATGTCAAATAAAAGAGGATTCAAGGGCTTGTTCCCATTGCATCATAGCGAAGTCATTACATATTCGATCGCTTAGAGTATTAGTAGACACTGTCACATATAAATCCAGAAATGGCATCTGTGATTAACCCATTAAAACCTTGGCGATTATGCGATCTCTGTTGCTGAGCATCACATTCATCAATCGACCGCACTCCAGGCTTTGCAGAACTAGATCAAGTTCAGAATTTATCACATGGTGTATGAGTAAAGCGATTTCGCAGTCTACCCCATAGCAGTTTCATTTCCTCTTTCAAGTGGTTGCGATCTTATCTCATGCATGTCACTAGAATATCTCATTAACAACCACGCGTGAGTTGATTTCATGGTTACTTCGAAGAATTTGCTTTCGTTTCGTTTTGCCAGGTAAATAAGTCGAGGTGGTCGCTCCAAGTGCAGGAATTTATGGCTTGGTGAATTTGACGCTTAATACACTGCTCCAGCGTTGCTAACAACAATTGCGCGGAAATTATGGCTATACCATTCTGTGGCCAGGGGAACGGTCAGGAGGTACGATCGGCGCGAAATTTCCGCGAAGCGACGCCGCAACGTATCTACTTCAGCCGATACAACAGCAGCGCTCCTGGCGCAATGTTACTTAAGGCATCCATTCATGTATTCCCCACCCCCCTGTTTTTGCCGCGGGGAATCTTCAACAGCGGGGGTTTTGTGGGCCCCAAGACTCGAACGCGTTTGCGCGGCGGAGCGGCCGCCGCGCGCGGCGTACCTCCTGACGTGCAGCCCCGTGGTCATCCTCACGCGCAACTCGCTAGCATATTATCGACATGCACAAGGATGGATTTTGACCGGTTAAACGAACGAATAGAGCCATCAAACAGCCTCTGCGAATTCCTGTTCCTACACGGCAAGCAGCAGCATGTGAGAAGACAAGTTGTTCGCGAAGGCGCTGCCTGACGGCAGTAGCATTCCCCCATCCCAGGTGTTGTGAAAGAAAACTTGCTTGACTCAAAATCGAATGTACATCTTCAAAAACGGCTACAGGTAGCTCAAAGGCACCTTCCACCCTACGTTGAGGGTATTGAGCTTTTGGCAGCATACAATAGTCGGGCCCCCTACAAATTGCCGCTTCGGAGGCGAGAAAATCGCTTCGGAATAGCGAAGATGCACGAGGACCCCCATCCGTGCCCGCCCTCCCCCATCCATGCCCGCCCATTTGTGCGCGCCCATCCAATCACCGTCCGGAAAGCCGGCCTGTGGGCTCTCCGGAACGGGGATTGTCGGGGTTTTCGCGCATTCTCGACTTCATATTCGGAATCAGGGACATGAGAAGGCCCTGAATCGACAAAGAGTAGAAGTCGAAAATCTGGATGGACGGTGCCTTTAATGACCAAGAATCTCAAATTTTGCTGAAACTTGGCGCATAGAGGTTATTTGACTCGCTACAAGAGGGTGGAGGACATTAGGTCGCCGAATTTGGAAGAGTCCCGCACGGATTCCCTGCAGGAACGCATGTCCGCGCATGTACAAGGGTGCGTGTTTGTCGCAAATGACCGCGGGGACCGCCCTTTTTCGGCGACCTAATGTCCCCCACCCGCTACAAGATTAGTATGCAGATTCATGATAGGCAAAGATTGGGCGCCGTTGCGTCCGGCCAAGACAGTTCGTGCATGGGAGAGATAGCAGAAGATAATAGAAACGAAAGAACTGCCGATAAGAGAGACGCCGATACGTCCGCAGTTTTGGCGTGCTATGAATCGCCTATACTCATTTTGTTTGGTAGGGTCGCTCTGTCTTGCTTGCGGTAGGTATATGGTGATAGAGGGTAGTGACAATGGACAAAGTTCAGTGGGCAGGTCGTGCCTGGCTAGTGCCATACCTCTTTCGCGACCCTGACTGAAACTATACCATTGGTGTCAGGTAGCGGTGGCAATAGGTCCTTGCAGTTTCTCTCTTCTTTTGTCCTCACATGCTTCCTTATGTCTCCCTATCCATCACGAGAGGGAACGGGGATAGCGATAACCAACCGCACGTACACCTCCACTTGGCAGGAAAACTGCGAGACTTCTTCTTGCAAAAACATTTCTCATGTGAGTGAATGTTCGCAGATTGTTGGAGTCTTTAGGTACATACTACTGTGGTTACGTAATAACCTAATACGTGAGTTACTGATGCATTTCCCTGATATTTGAGATGTATCAGATAACTGACTCCTCAATTTTAGATATTGTAATCTATCTATGCACATCCACAATAATATCTGCTTATATCTGCACAGCTAAAGGCATGTCAAACAGGCCCTCCACCAAATCAAAGGTATCCTTTACTCCTTCCAAACTAAATGCCGACTCGTTATGTTAGCTGATGCCTTCTTCTACGAGTACTCAAAAGACCTCTTTGTCTCCATCGGCAGCAACCCCGACAGGACAACACGACGCACTGGGAAACAAAGTTAGTTATCTGCTGACAAATTTGTTCAACACTGCGAGTGTTCCAGATAGCTGCTGGGAAAACTCCTAAAATGGCACCGTTGAGTTTTGAGTTTTCAGAAGACTGAATAGTTTTTATTCTATCGTAAATAATTACAGCATCGTGCACCATGACATAGCGAAAACCCAGGACGATGAAGACCCAATATCGAGATTTGCAAAGAAGGAGCAGCAGTCAAACAAAGCTCCCAACGATGTCGCAAATCTCCAAAAGAAGGCTGCAGATGATGGTGTTGTAGTTCCTCCTTCACTTGTGAAACACATGGGCAACATAGATGAGATTGCTCAGGTAGGAAACAGTTTTGACTCGCTCCCGCATGCCATCTTCCAGACTAATGTACGAACGTAAGCTTATCCATGCCTGGAGGGTCGGATTTGCCAAGCAAGCTTTTTTTTTCAAAGGCGGATTCCCCTATACAGACGCTTCAGTCAGTAGCAGCAGATTCAGTATAATCTAGTACAGACGCTTCAAAATCCAATTGCCCACGCATCACTTTGAACACCAACGCGCGAAGCGGCTCGGAACGTTGGGTCCCGAGGCGCTAAGGACAATGAGCGCACACCCATTTCGCACATTTTTTTTCAAACTTTTGAAGGAAGTTCTGGTTAAATATGCTTTGCATTTTTGGAAACAGTGTGGAAACTGACAGGAAATTCCTGAAAAATTGCGGACATCTACAGTCATCCGCGATCACCGCTCGCTTACGCTAGTGTTCAAGGCAAGGCGCGGGCAATTAGATTTTACAGGGCCTGTAGGTTTTCTGCTCAATGTAGTGTGCATGCGGTGGTGCTGAGCCTCCACGGCCAAATTTGCGCATTAAAGGCAATGTCCAGGCAAGATGGGGGTTTTGGGATTTCAGTGCCATGCGAGAGTGCCCTCCTCAGACACAACAACGCGCAAGTGCGACATCATAACGATCACCTAAAGCAAAAAAACGAGCAGAAATTGGGGGAACTCACGCCTTGGGGCGGGGTCCTCCGAGCTGCCCGAGTTCCTGCAATGCGGCAGAGTACGCATGCCGCAACAGTTGAAATCGTAGCGTCCCGCAGCGACTCTGCTCTCTGCCTGGCGGGGACCGTCGAATTTCATATTGTACGGCTTTGGAAAACGCATGTTCTCGACGTTTTTGCGTCTAATGTGGATTTTCGGATTCAGCTGCGGATAACCCCTGGTAAGTGGATTTCCTAGAAATCGAGTTTTTGCCCGGACACTGCCTTTAACAATACTTGCTAACTTGGTAAGACGCTAAGAAAACCAGAGGACATTACCGAAAGATGGAGAACCTACTTCGAGGAGATGGCCACCATAGGCCGCACCATCAACTCTATCTCAGAAGCCAGTCCCATAAAAGGGCCAGTACTACCAGCAGTCACGGAAGAGGAAGTATGGCTGGCCGTAAGACCGGAGCCTCATGGCTAACAAGCCTCCTCAATCAAATCATAAGGAGCAAGAGTATGCCTCGCGACTGGTACACCAGCACGACCATCCCGATGCGGAAGAATAAAGGAGGACGTAGCAGACTGCGCATCCTACCGACCAATCCGACTGATGAGCCACACTCTAAAAATCTTCGAGCGAGTAAACGAAACACGCCTTTGAGATATCATAGAGTTGTCACCGAATCAGTGCGGACGTGAAAGGAGTAGGTACAATTGATTCAATCCACCCCGCTCGTATAGTGATGGAGAAATACAGAGAGAAGCAGAAGGAATTGCATGCAGCATTCCCGGACCTGGAGAAAGCCTTCGACAAGGTGCCCCATGAAGTCATATGGTGGGCCCGGAAACACAGGGTGCCAGAAGAGTACGTACAGTAGATAAAGTTGATCTACCACAACGCGTCAAGCCACGTACTAGCAGCTGCAGGGCAATCGAAAGAACTCCAAATCAAGGTTGGAGTACATCAAGGTTCAGTTCTCTCTCCCTTGCTCTTCATCACTGTGATGAACGCCGTGATGGAACCGCTCAGACGTGAACCCCCTTGGACACTTCTCTACGCAGATGATGTGGTCTTGATAGCAAGTACTAGAAAGGAGCTACAAGACGAGGTGCAAAACTGGAAAAACAGGCTAAAGTTGTATGGCTGAAGCTCAACACTAGGAAGACAGAATATCTGGAAGTGGGGAAGCAAACTCCAGGTACCATAAGCATAGATGGTGAAGCTAAAGAAGACAACGTCATACAAGTACCTAGGCAGTCGTATCTCGGCGGAGGGAGGCCTACAAGAGGAGGTCGCAAGCAGGATGAACACAGCATGGATGAAATGGAGAGCATTAACAGGAGTTCTGTGAGACAGACGAATGCCAGTGCAATCAAACTTAAGTCCCAACTGTACCGGACCGTTATCCGCCCAGCAGCACTGTATGGCAGTGAATGCTGGCCGTGTAGGCGAAACGAGGAGCGCAAGCTCAGTGTCATGGAAACAAGGATGCTACGATGGACCTTAGGAGTCACACTGAAGGATCACATCTGCAATGACACTATACGAGCGCGAATGGAAGTAGCTCCAATCACCCAGAAAATGCAGGAAAAGAGGTTACGATGGTATGGGCATGTGCGCAGAAGGGATGAAAGTCACATTACCAAGTTGGCTTTGGCTGTGGAGGCACCAGGCAAAAGGCCCAGAGGTTGACCTAAGATGAGGTGGATGGACAGAATCAAGGCCGACCTGCGAGAACTTGGTATAAACGAAGACCTTGCCTCAGATAGGATGACATGGAGACATCTGACAAGAAAAGCAGATCCTGCTTAAGCGGGACGCATGCGAGGATAAAAAAAACTGCCTTTAACAAGTACCGAGTACGCCAGTAATGCCGGCATTCTGCGCGCGCAAGTGGCCGGCATTACAGGCGTAGCTATCGTCCTTTCACCCCGTTGTAGCGGGCACGCAGCCTCAGACGCTCTCCCGCGAAGCGGTTTTGACCGCGGCGCAGGGTCGATACGGCTGATCAGCTGTTCACCGTCCGCTGCCACAGGAATTGATGAGTTTTGGATAATTTCTGTATCTTTTTGCTTGCAGATTGCAGCAAAAGGATGGAAGGTAAATTGAAAAAGTCTTTTAAGTTTATTAATGAGTGTAATATTGACTACATGAACGAAAATTCGAAAAAAAACTGGCTGACATAGCGCTTATTGGGAAGTCAGCTTTTTCAGCAAACAACTAACTTATAAATAAACTTAACAGACTTTCTCAACTCACCTTCTATCCTTTTGTTGCCACCTGCAAGCAAAAATATAGAGGAATTATCAAAAACTTACCGATTCCTGTGGCAGCGGACGGATGGACAGTTGATCGGCCGTATCGACCCTGCGCCGCGGTCAAAACCGCTTCGCGGGAAAGCGTCTGAGGCTGCGTGCCCGCTACAATGGGGTGAAAGGACGATATTTGTTCACGCGGGATTTAGCCGCAAATCTCGGCACCGCAAACACCCTATTTTGAGCGAAAAATCTACTAGACCATACTATGTCGACATCCATATCTCCATCCATGCTCAAACTTTAAAAATGATATCGTCGTACCTACGATTGCAAAGTTAGGATAGTTGACGCATGGGAGCTGACACGTCTGTAAATTAATGATGAGCTTGACTTTTCCATCTGTAGGACACACTGGCAAATCTGCTTCAAATCAAAAAATCGTTGCTTTACTTGCTCAACATTCATCCACTTTTATTTTTGACTCCCCTCTCTACTAATTTTTACTGGAGGTATGATCGTTTAGACGAGAAAGGCACAGCTCGAGAAAGATATGGAAGCAATGAAATCAGATAATGATAAAAGCAAATCACAGATCCAATCTACGAAAGCTGATCCAAAGTTAAAAGTAAGCTCAAGCACTAGATTTCTATTATGAAGATGATTAGAATGACAGAAACAGACCACCAGTAGAATTTATCATTGTTGCAAGAGTATCTAAAGTAGCTACACTGACTTGAATTTGCTAATCCCTTCTAGTAGCAGAAACTCTAGTGTTTTTTTCTGACTTTATGAATTTGGAATTTTGAGGTTCGCATCAACGAGAAGAACTGTGTATTATACGAAACGAACGACTTACCGACGCTTGACGAACAGGATGATGAGAACGCTATAGCCGATCTTTATTGAAGCTGTAAATTACATAACAGATCAAAACGTACATCTGATACAACTGTTGCAAAAATCAATGGCTCTAAAATATGAGAGTTTGTAATAAAATGTCGATTAGTTTGTTTCTAGTTCCAACAAGCATACTGATTCGTCTATTTAAAAGCTATAAAGGAAAAAATCAGTAATTTCGCGCAGGCATAAACGACTAAGAAATGCTTCGTCAAAATTTTTCTTAGCTATCCAGTTGCTAAAAGAAGTCAAAAACTAGGACATGACCATATAAACCGCAAATTTTCTTGTATTCCATTCTCTAAGCAAACAGAACGAAGATCACTTTTGTGTGGGACAATTTCATTGATTTCTTTCGGCCTACCTAGGGACAGATATTCTAAGGTCTGAAAGTCTAGTGCGCAATAACTATGTATATACATTCGTTTGTAAACATTCTAAATACAGCAGTGCAAATTTCGGCAGATTCCGTGAATTTGGCACTCTGCATCTATTATATCGTTAAAAGGTGTTACCACAATATCAGCACTCCGATAGCTTTTCTTAGCAAAGTTTTTGATTTTCGAGAACTAGATTTTTCGTTTCTCCCATGTATTCAAGTGAGAGCGCAGTCTACTTTATAGTTTTGCGTCTTCAAAATGTGGAAATAAAATTTATTCAACAATAAACTGTACACAATCATGCTTTTAATGGTTCCGTTTCTCCATTTGTAACTTTGAGTTCAATTGACTTCTTCCTCTTTATTCGAGACTTCACAGGAATGATCATCTCATCAAAAACTGTGAATGGCTTTTCAAAAGCCAAAGCGAAAAAGAACGCTACTAGGTAGGAGACAAAAATTGCTTCGCATGTGTGTTGAAACTGAAAAGCGTTCTTTCTTTGAAGCATTCTCTTTTTGATTTTGACCTACCATTTGGAAGAACGTCGTGTAGTGAAATGGCTGAGGTCGACTCAAATTATAAATTTGTAGCATAATAGGATGAAGGAGGTATGCGCAAAAAGTTATTCTTGACAGAGGCATGAAGAACTTCCAACCAAGGAAAGTGCCAACGGGTCCTAAAAATGTTATTCCAACGTACCCTTTGATTCAACTGGCTTGGCTGCTGGAAGGCGGGCTTCGTCACCTAACTGAGATCACATAATGGTCAGAGAGCGTGCGCGCGAAGAGACGCAGACTGCGTCGCGGGCGCGATCTGCCTTGACTAGGTTGCAAAGCCCCGCTTTCCAGCCGCCAAGCCAGTTGAATGAAAGGTTGCAAGACAGAGAAATATCGTGTCAATATACCTCCATTGCCCGTGGCACAAGCGAAAGCGACCCATCCTAAGGAAACAGCATACGCATGCCTTCCGCAAAGTACGTACAAAGCTCTCCACCAGTCGGAGATGTCGCCGGTCCGTGCGTAATTGTACAGACCAAATATTGAGTAAAGTCCAAGAACCGTGGAGATGCTCCAGCCGAGGATGACATGTTTCTGTATTTGAGAAAAAAGTTTGAAATGGAGTCGTAACACAAGCCGAAACAATTGTACTCAAATTCAAACAATGTACCTTTGGCATGTCATATCTGTTGTCCTTTCTATTGCGAGTAAAATGGTTCAAGAGGTATCCAACGGCAACTCCTACAATAAATGGTCCACATCGAACATAAGGCCTCACATAGACGTCGTTCCAGTATGAGTCTAGCGTTTTGACTCTGAAATCCAACATCAAAATATAGTAAATGAGTTTAAAAGAAATTGACAGTGTAATCTATGGAGAATAATAAGCTGGTTTTAAATTGAGCATTTGTAAATCATGTTTTTTTGGCGATGGTTTCATGTTTTTATTGAACTGTTTCCATTGATTAATAGAATGTTTGATTGTATTAGTTGTTTACTATTCACCAATGGAATGGCTATCCGCTTAGACTTTCTGAGCGTAGTAGTGCACTTCGTTTGCAATAAATAGATTAGTGAGCGTGGTCAACTGTCAGATAAGTTCGATTCGATCACATCCTAATTGGTTGTTGATTCAGTTCAATTCCTGAGATGCCCTACGCGAAAATGAGAAAAACTGGTACATTCTAGATGCAAAATATAGGCGAAATGGGATTTCACATAGTTGCATTTGTGACCTTTCAAGCAAAAAATTCTACAGTCTACATACACTCGTTCTTTCTGAACTAAAGAACTGATTGAAGAAAAAACTTGCTAGAAAGAAAGTGTTCATATATTACCGCTCGCTCCCAGAAGGTGCGAGATTTCTGTGAATGATTTCCTTTGGAATGCATGGATTCTGAAATGAAAGAAGGGTTATACTCAGCTCATTGAGGCATATCTTTGAGTACATCGGCTTATTGTAATTCTCGGGGTACGGTAGGTGTATGATAGGAGTTGAATTTTGCTTTCGAGGGAGGGGACGTGCTGATGAATACAATATTCGATCTGTACTCGTACCCACCAGCGGTTTTAGTAATAAACAAGTACTAATTTGAAGCTATCAAACAAATAAAAGAGAGGAAGAACAACAACATCGACGGCATCATCAAGATATGCTCGTTTTTTTTGAACCAACCATGACCTATACCATCGATCCCCCCCCCATAGAATTTCAGATAATTATTAAAAAAAATTCACTTACTGCCGTACACCCGCCGTACCGAGAAATACGGTAAGGCGATGCCAAAAGATCCGCCTCAGTGAGCTGAATATAACCCTCCCTTTAATCCAGAATCCATGAGTTACGAAGGAAGTTATGGCGATGTTCCGAAAATTCCGCGGAATTCCCGTCGGATTCCGGAAATGTCCCGAATTTTAAGGGAATTGCGCGACATTCACGAAAATTTTGCAGCTTCCGAGAGCGGTAATGCACTCCAGTCATAGTTAACAGGAACGCAGAGTTTACACTGCTTATATAGAGTTTACTTCAAGGAGCATTTTTAGAAGCTTAATTTCTTGAAATCAGTTCTAAGAACTGCTTTGGAATGCTGTTGTAATGCGCGCTGAAGTCTACAACTGAAAAAAATCACGAATTAGAATATAAAGAGCGACAGACTTTTCCCGAAGTAAAATTTGTAGAGAAAAGATAATGATTTTCGCTGAAGTAGATCTTATGGTGAGCTTCGATTGAATTGCAAAGTTACAAAAAAGTTTCGACGACGAAGTGGGGCTGGAAATTATAAATCCGAGCTACTTGATTTCTGAAAATCTTCTAGAGGTTATTTACCAGGTGAAGGATCAAACTAGCATTGATAAGCACTACATATATGTCGTACATTTGTAACTTAGCCGTGAGCAATGGTGCTGGAGGATAGTCGTGAGTGAAGATAATCCATAATTTGATGAAAGATGAGAGCAACATGAGACTCCCACCAATAGAAAGGCCCAATTTTTTGCTCCTGCAAAACGATAGATTCACTTTCTAGACAAAGTAGTACAGCTGAATATACTTGGCAAAAGCTATGAAGAGGATAGGAGCAAGTGTGTAATGAAGCTGAACATCGTTGGCCAGGTACCATGTCCATCCCATGCACTGTAATAATTCATCATTCTTTACTTATGTCACCTTTGACTTAACTGGCTGGCAGCTGGAAGGCGTGTGACATAACTAAGGTCACGCCCGCGACGCAGTCTGCGTCTCTCCCGCGCGCGCGCCCTCTGATCATTACCAAGCCGTAACAGGTTACGGAGCTTGAACCAAATTGGTTTTGGTTTCTACATCACTTTCTCATAAATTCAAATTTATCAGCAAGCTGAAATTCGTGGATAAAAAGACTACATTGCATCCACTAATCTCATCAAAGTTTAGCATGATATAGTGAGGAAGAAATTTTCAAGTTATCAAAGCCAAATATTCTTACTCTAAGAGTCATCTGAGTTTCACCCCCCGTAAGAACTTCTCCTTATTTGAATATTTAGAACCATTCCGTAAAATCAATTAGCTTGGCTAATGTCTCATTCAGCTGTTTTTCTATTGTCAAAAGTTTCCAAATTCATGTACTGAAAACCACCTACACATTCTTTATCCTGCAGCAAGAAGTTGTTCATGTAGATGAAGTTTGTCCACCAACTTATGCGGCATCCTGTCTTTTCAATAGGAGTCCAAAAGGGCCCAGATGAGACGTAAGTAAACAAGGTGACATCGAATAACATTATTACGGCATATGTTGGAGTAAGCCTGAAGAGGGACCTGTATTTCTCAAAAATACTAGATGCAGAACTTAGCTTACCTCGTGTATCGCTTGATGTAGATCATTAGCCACATCAGTGGATTTCGTGGATTTCGAATGGTTTTACTTTTGAGCACTTTTTTGAAAAAGATATAGGAGGCTAGAAGACCACTAAATTCAGAGTGGCAATTTGGAAGAGGAATAAGCTTTGGAACAATTCTAAGTCAAATAACTAACCTGAGGAAAAAGAATGAGTCAACAGCTAAAGGCGCTTGCACGATAACTTGTGTATAGAAGTGTTTCGGAAAATCAACCAGTGTTGGAATTAAGTTATCTGAAACAAGGTTTGCGACAGCATTTTTGCAGAAAGTTTTCGCTAGCCGATAGCGACTATAAAAGAACTAGCCTCTATACATAGTTTCAGGTCATATCTAAAACGGTGTAAAATTTACAGGAGAATCATAGAAGAACAAAGCCCCCAAAAAGCTCCACGAATGTTTGAAGTAAGGTAACTCCGTTCGCAGTTTCTGATTCTATGAGGTTTCTTGCAAGCAATGACCCGTAAATTTTTCCGACACAAGTAATTTGGTCCTTAAAATCTGTGTATAACTGGAGCGTTGAGTTCCACTGATACTTCATAAGCGTCGGTCATCGACGGTAGAACATTCTCACTTGCTGAATGCATTTTTGGAACATTTCAGTGAAAAGCGGTCTTAGAGAGGTCTTCCATTTTCATGCAGTTCCGCCATTTTCCAAAAGGATGCTTATTGAAACGCATGCACACCCTTATTTCTACATTTCCATTTCATATTCACAAATCTTCAATGCGCAGCAAGAGAAGACCTTCGTAGAATTCAAGCTACATTTGCTTGATAAATATGGGTACAGGATTTCGAAAGTGCTCGTTATTTTGAGCCTTAATCGAACTACTTGACCCTACCTATAGTCAGGCTTTTTCCGATGTAGTAATATGTATGACCAAGAATGATCCAACACATGCTTAGAAATCGAATTCCATGGAGGCAATTCACTTCGCCCTGCAAAAAAAATTCGCTAAAAATTCCAGCCAGCATGCAACGACTAAAAATGTTCACGATTCACCTCTTTTTTGGTTGTCTTTAAGATCTCTATACCATTTGTGTACGCCGAATAAGCAAGAATTATACGGATAAATAAATCTAAAATCAAAGTTTTACTTGTCGATAGCTTTGAAAGAATTTATTTTACTGTAAATGCTTAGGAAGAACTTTTTCTCGAATTTCCGAGGAGCAAGGATCTCTTAATTTTGCACAATAACATGTTTGGAATTTTTAAAATCATATAGCGCGTGATCTTAAACATTGATGACTTACGATTGTTTCTTTCTGATGGAGGCAACAGCTCGATTTCTTTCTGATAGATGAAGAGATCGTACAGAGTTCCAAATATCATCATAATGATCGTGTAGGTCAGAAAATATCTTAAATCATCAATCAAATTTTTAATTGGATATCCACACCCCTACGACATACAGAGCTGCCATGGCGAGCCAGTTGTTGCTCATGGCTGATTCCTTCTTCTCAGGACGGCACTCGACATTCACATCGCAAACGGCATCTCGGCCAACTGCGCTTTCGGCGAGGCGAACAGCTGTAAGTTTTTGGCATAAGTAAGTCATGAACATGAATATTCCATTTGATTTCAAGTAGTCTATGAAAGTAAAACTTAGAAATTTCGTATTTTTGCGGACCAGTTCTTGATGGACATTATCCACAAACTTCATTTGCTTTCCTATCCCCGTTAAATGGTAGATCAGCGGCGGATCGTAAAGGCAGGAGCGGGGCGGGAAGGCGGAGGGGGAAGGCCGAATGGATCTCGAAATTTTCTGAAGTCCCCTGTAGAGTAATAATATTGCAGTGGAAGTTACCGTCACTTGTAGATAATAAGAATAAATTTTGAAGATTTTTCAAGTTTGAATAAGCTCAATAAGGAATCATTTCCTGGTGCATGGCTGCCGATGCGTCTTCTTGTCTAGAGATTTTAGAATTTTGAGCCCAATAAAAAATTGATGGAGAACATCTCAAAAATGTTTCTGAGGGCGTGGCTACAGCATGTCCCTTCCAAGAAAAGTTCTGTCACCCTTCCACTCTTCCCCCCTCCCCCATCCGCTCCCTCTCTCCGCCGCGAGGAAAATTTCTCGGGCCACTAGTGTGGTAAGCAGAGTAAAAAGCCGAATTGTTCTGGATGCATAATAATCGGTTGTGCGAATAAATATGTGAACCATCTGACTCAAAAGGACTTCTTTTCGATTTTGTCGCTCATCTCTTTCATAAAATGCACCCCTACTTTTTTTGACTACCATCTCATGCACAGAGGTTTCTTCTTAAATGAAAAGTGCTTCAAAACTGCTTGCGTCATAATGCCACATGTCGAAAATAAATCCTCTAAAGCTTGCTTCAACAACTGCTATGCCAAATAAGAGAAGTAAGACTTGCCGAAAGTGATCATCCTAGTGACGTCGTATTCTGTACATGTGTCAGGCATGCAAACACCAAAATTAAGCATTGGAATAAAGGTGAAACATTGTCCATCGTCGTCATCTTCTGTGGCATTCTTGTCCTTGCTAAAATCTTGATATATGAATTATTTGGAGAATCATATTGCGTGGTGGGAGGCTTTTCTATGTTTGATGGGAACCTTGACATTACTATCAGCACCCGGCGTAAGGTCATATGGAAAAATTGGGCTCTCTGTTCAGAGGTCAAGATTTGAAATAAATCGCTTATGCCTCATGTTAGTGAGTTATTTATAGAAGACTAGATGGCTTACCCGGCTCCGCCCGGCCCTGTCATTATTTTATTCGTAAGCAGCATGCTCGATTACCTCCCTGTACCAACTCCCAGCCCCGTAGCTCAAATTTTGCAAAAAATCGATAAAATCGATATCGATCGATGACGAAAAGTAGCCTATGACACCCGCCGGGGCCCGAAGTGTATGTGTGCCAAGTTTGGTCCGGATCGGTTCAGAAATGAAATTTTCTATTCGGAACATACGTACATACAGACATACATACAGACATACATACAAACAGACATTCAGCTTTATATATAAGATGACCGATTCCGGAAGTTCGTTATTTTTGCCTAAGAACATAGCTGTAAACTTTTTGTTTTGATTCTCTGTTATAAATCTCTTAATAACATATAGAAGAAGTAGTATTCCTCGAGAACCACATAAATTCTGAGATGTTTTTGAAGAGTTGGTAAAACCTGGAGAAAAAGTGATGTGGAGAGATATGTGCTTCAATTTAAGAACCTTGTATTTCTCATATCGAGAGGTACAATATAATCTCCAAAAAGGCGTGCCAAGAGCAATTCTATAGAATTTTAGGACTATCATGTATCTTACGGAAAGCTAGAGAGATAGCGTCCATGTTTCCTCTTTTCAAAACTCGAGTTAAAACAGTAAGCAGTAAGCAGTATGATGTATGATATACTCACAAGCAATGTGCATCCACTGCATCGTTCTTCTCGAGTGCTTTGAAAGGGTTGTTTCGCTCATAAGCTTCTAAGTGTGCCAAACAGTACTGACCATTCCATCGCTGACTGAAAGTGCAACCATGAACGAAATCACAAGTGTGGAGCTCCCACTTACCCCTGATTATTCTTCACCGCATGGATCTTACGGCAAGTATTCCATGAACCGACCCAAAGATTGTTGCCGGATGTGATACCGGAGGGTACCTTGCCCATGGCATCCAACACTAAACCACACTAATACATTTAGGAAAAATACTCTGAGTACGCGATTTCGTTTGAAAATATGAAAAAAAGGTTACTCAAATTAATGCTCTCCTCTACCATGCAATCTTTTATGTAGAGTAGCATTCAATGTGGGTTAGAAGAAACTGCGTAAAGCAGGAATATGCCGAGAACAGTTTTCTTTGGACAATTTTTCTAAGGCGATTTTCTCATTTCCGGCATCATGCTGTGCTTACACATTTGGATATTCGATCAACAAAGAAGCCTTATTCGGCTAACATGGAATCACAATCCTCAAATTTGCTCAGACGCCATGCAGTAAGTTGTCAAATGAGGTACGGAAAAATTTGAATTGTTACATAAGTTTTGTTACATTTGCTTGGTCTCCCTCTGGAACATTCCAGAAAATTCGGCAAGGTCTTCGGCATATATGGGGAAGGCATAAAGAGCTATCCCGTCGGCACCACCCACCTCACGACATGACTTTTAGTAAATCTAAAGGCAACCCTATGAGGGCACTCCAACCTCCATTTCCTTCTTTAATTTTTAACAAATCTCTTACTTCTTTTTTATATTTTTAGAATTTTTATGGACTTCTTTGAACATTGGTAGTAATACTAAAACCATTTGGAAGGTTGAGCTCTTCAATAACCAAAACTGGAAATATGCCATGAATAATTCGGGAAAATTCCGAAAAATTCTAACATTTGACTTTTTAGGTGTGACATGCATGTATTAAAAATCTGCAACACCAATAGTTTGGATATAAAGAAATATTATTTGACAAGGTTACGAAGATTTTTTCAGTCGATAGTAACAAAACTTTTGTAACAACCTAATAATATGAAAATAACACGATTAATTTTTTGTTTGAAAGCGCCTGTTCTGAAGTTTCGGAAAAAATACAGTGTCACATGTATATCAATACCAATCATGACATAATCATAAGGTCTGATTTGGGAGAATATGTGAACCTCATGTGAAATAGTAATATTTAGTACTTAGGGTTTTTTTAATTCAACAATCAGTAAACAAATGTGCTAGCTGAAAAAAATTGATTCATAGTTCTCAAAGGAGTCTCCCATCTTGTCTACATCTTGTCTATGTCTCTTCATCTGAAAAGGTAACAGTTCATCTCAACATCGCTAATAACGTAGCGAAAGTAAAGAGACTTTGACTTTCGTCGTACCTTTCAGGCTAGATAATCAGAGCGATGTCTAACGCAGAACTTGCTTCAGGACTTTTTCAACTACAGCATTCTCAAAAAAATGTTCTAGTTTGTTTAAACTGTCGGATGGATGACAAAGGAGATTATCGTTCAATTCAAACATTCCCCACCGTTAAAAATCCATGATCGCTCATTCTTCTTCTGTTGGAAGAAAGGCGTACATTTGCAGTTAGTACAATTCCTGTGCTCTTCTACGTGTGTGGCGTACTCCACTGCTGTCCAAACGTAATGAAAAACGTCGGCGATGCATGCTGAAAAACGAAAACAAGATCTGCTTCAGTTGATCGTATTATCCTTTCACGATAGAACTACACAAATTAGTGGCCAGAATCATGATGCAACGATGATCGATTTCGTATTTTGTGATTTGGGAGTGCATCATTTGAGTGAGTTTTATGAGAAGTGCACAGAAAAATCCAGTTTCGTACCAATCATGCAGAATTTTACAGCTACATCGTCAACAACATTGCTCTCAAACTGCAAAAATAAAAAATTGAAACTCTCTGTGAGTAGGCCAGCCTAAGTAAAAAAAGCTAGAGTCGATCCCAACGCTCCAATTTTACATCGTGACTAAGACAAGACCCTTTGTAAGACCCCTTTGTAAGACCCCTTTGTAATATGAATTAGGGAGCTTCACAATTTTTTTACCGTTTTTACCCTAAACATCAGCATTCCTCGAGAACTAGGGTACCTAATTGAGATCTAGGGGCGGACTTTGCCATTTGACTCCATCCTTTTTTTTCATTATTTCTAGGATGGAAAAATACGGAAATTATACGATTGAATGTTCGATGTGTCGAGCATACGCTAGAATTGAGAATTTTTGAGACTGGGGCGGAGATACGATTTTTGGCGATTAAGTTCGTTTTCGACTGCAATATTCCAGCTCAAAACTTTACTTGGAATAGGGCAGACTCTTAATAGCCATCTTGCAGAGCTTGCTATGCTCTGTAGAAAGACTCAAGCAACATTAAATTGAAGAAAGATGCAAAAACACGACGGTTGTAGTAAAAAGCAAAAAAATTGTGAGACACTCCAATATATTGTGAACTTTTAGCTTATTCAAATCTGAAGGTGGAATAGGCCTTCGAGAAAGCGGAGCACCGTAAAACTTTCAGATTTCTCAAAAAAAAACTCTTGAAAAGTTGTACGGGAGTCAATACTTGAACGCGGAGCAAGAAAAACATAGTGATTACATTGCAGAGAGATAAGAATAAGGGAGTGAGTTTTTGATTATTCTCCAACATCATTCTTTCTTTCATGGTTCACAAATTCTTTGCAGCAAATATTGTGCAAATGTTCAGATTTGTGTGCAAAAACAAATTGCTCCAAAATGTTTGCTTTTGATTTTTAGATCGATTAAAGTAGTTTTTACAGATGTTCAATAACTCAATTAGCTTCCTAAATAATATTCCTAGGACCACACCCTTTCATCAAAAAACGTAATTTTGGAAAGCATTAAGAATTTCCTGAGGAAGGGCCACTCCCTATTATTGAGAAAGACTGATCACCCTCCCCCTCCCTCCCCTCCCTCATTTAAAAAAATTGACTGAAAGCTCTACATAGCAGAGAAGCTCATTCGTGGCGCTTATTGTAATCTGAAGCAAAGAGTTCGTCAGCACTGAGATACTGTAGTCTGGTCAAATGTTGCAAAGTGCACTAGTGATGTAGCACTAATCGGTAAAAGATAAGCGTATGTCGCGAAACCCTTTTTCCTTATCTACTTAATTTGAAGTATTGCAGCGTAAAAACACAAGCAACAGCTTCTGTTTGTGATTGTACCTGAGGACACATCAAACTCTTTGAGTTTGTCCACAAATTGTACTGCATATCGCATCAAATCCAAGTTTCCTTCTTCAACACCATTTCTGAAATGGACTATGAAGACACAAACACAAATAAACCTTTTTGTCATTTTTACACTTTTCGCAAAAAGGTGTGCGTTTGACCGATGATTGACAGGCGCTGACAAGATTTATTATTTGCATTTCTTATCAGATAAGCAGGGTTGCAATCCGATAATTAACGCACAAAGATTCTTTTAGGTTCAAACATTCAAAAAGGGCTCATGGAAAATCAGTTTGGATTCCAAACTTTCAGTATGAACGTTAAATTCTTTTAAAATTTCTAAAAAAAGAGAGATTTGTGTAAACAAACATTCGTCAAGGAACCAATAGGCTCCGAATGTTCAAACCTGTATGCCTCTGCGTAGTTGAAAAAGTGCTTGAAGAAGTCCATGTCCAGTATTAGTTGAGTCTCCGAGTCAGCAAGAAACTGGGTAAATACGGAGCCCATAATCTGAAGAGCAGCCAAGTCTTGTAAACATAAGTGTGGATTAGTTGATAAACACCTCTTCATCATCCTCATCGTACTCGTCCTCTTCACTGAACAACGACGGTCTTTTAATGGTGAATTGTGAGCGAGCTCGATCATTGATTGGCTTTGGTAGCTTTTCAATCGTTCCATTTGATAGAGCATTTCCTTTAAAAAACAAATAATCTGCTGTGTTTAAAAATATCAAAAAACCTTTACCAAAAAGGACGAGAGGCGAAGCGATAAGGAGTGAAATCAGTGGGAAGGCTCGACACAGCATCTCCTTCGCTGTGCGTTATCATCGCGGCAGGAGGCGACCACTAGCCCCTCCAAATAAACAGAATTGCGCCGTCAATCAAACGCTCGGACAATACCTGTAATTGAGTTCAACGGTTCAAAGGGCGAAACTGATGTCCTCTGATTCATAGCTGAACGAAATCACAAAAAATCCGCGACAAATTCCAATTTCTCAGCTGACACCGTAAAATTGGATCATAGCCATCGAAAACTTTCTAGAAAGTGCCACGTACGCACTAGAGAGACGGGTACCAGTTCTAATATGTGCATGCACTTACGACTCATTCCAGCCGCACTTCCTTGAGACTCGTTGTTCAACTGGTTGCTGTTTTTATACTCGTCTCTTCAAAGTGCATTCCAATGTATGCTACGACTTCGACGAAGCATCCTCAGCCACATTCGGGACGAGCGCTTGCGCTCAGAGTATTATGTCTGTTTTATTCTGTGTTTCTGATTAGACTCAAAATGTTGCTTGTATTGTGAACTCAAGACAAATGATATAACAGCCGCAACCTCTACTCAAAATGACAACTAGCACGCGGGTCGTCATGCTGTATACCTTAGACTTGTGCAATCAAACTTTTACTAATGTAACACTGATATGATACAAACAACGAAAAAATAGCTTTTTGAGAATGATGAAAAGGAGCCCTGACTACTTGCAAATGTTTATATGAGGACAGAAAATAATAAGTCGCGAGAAAGTCAACCGGCCATCTGATTCGCAGCTGAATGCTCCAGTTGAACGCGTCTTCTGATTGTGAGACGTCGCACCTCAAACTTTGGTAGTGGTTAGAGCTTGACTACACCGAGTTCGCGACCTGGGATAATCTGATAATAGAGAAACCCAAATTATATGAACGAAGAAATAGACACGTTTGACACAAAAAGCATGTTTTCACATGTGAACTTTGTGATTGATCTACCTATCAAAAATTGCTTCTGCATCCATACGCTGTATATAGCAGCTTACAAGGGTTCGATATTGCACTGTGGATGTCTCGTTATTAGCAATCATTACGTCAAAGGTTCGAAGATGGGTAGACGCGCAAGTTTTCTGGAGACACATACGAAGTGCGATTCAAGGGCTTATTGAAGATTAGCTGGTGTTGTTCCATGACCTGCGAGATTTTCAAACCAGGTTCGCGATTCCCTTCGAGCTGTCGCCACCTTATCTTGTTTATGTTGTGACATTTTCTTGGCGAAATCACTATAGGCCCTGCTCGCACTCATGAGAAGCGGAGGCGTATGCATTTGATGCACCCGGATTTGGGTCAAAACCGTTTAAACCTGAACAGAGCAGAGAAGTGATGAACATGACCTAAGAAGTTCTCTTTGATATGCTACTTTCACTAAACACACTGCGAATTGGCGGAGCTGCACTACATGAATTAAATGCAAATTTACCGGTATCTTCTTCACGAGTTTAACAGAAGCTTTTTATAAAAAGTCGTCGGAAAGCCGCTGCAGAAGATTGAAGCCACTGAATTATTCAAGAACCTTACCATCCATGGACGAGATTCGATCTGCGTGTATAATCTGGGCAAGACTTGTCCCCAATGATATTAAGAGCAGTGGCGATGAATCGAAACAGTTGTTGCGGAAAAGTCGTATCGAGAAACAAAAGTCCAAAAGAACTTGCCGTTTTTATAGCCTAAACCTCTTGTCCATTCCGCTTTTCTAGTGGGAGTCCCTTTATGCACTTCGATCCTGTCATGAACTGAGGAGTAGCAGCAGATAATGCTGATAAATTTCCGTAAGGATAGAGACAGAAGTTGCCCACATGGGAACGATAAGAAAAAAATAAAATGGGATTTCATACAACCACAAATGGTGAGCGATGAACTCAGACGAGGGGTATCAATATGGGTGGGTTATCAATTGCAGTGTCGGGTACTCTAGCATCTCCTTCGCGCAGGACTCTGCATCACTTCCGCGAATGTGCTCACTAAATCATTTCCAATCGATGCTCCGCCTTTCCCACGCTTGCCCTGGGGAAGTGATCAGAGAGATGTTTGCGAAAGATATGCAGTGTCCAGGCGAAGCGGCCGAGCGCGAGCGGAGATGCTGGTGCACCCAGCTCTGCAGTTGATAAGCCCTATATATGGCACTCCCCTAGATGGCGAATTCACACTCCCCAGTAATTCTTTTATGTGCTTTGAAGCGGTGACCAGGGCGAAAAGACGGTACTCCTCTGCGAGATCCACATAGCTATCACAGAAGTGTCTTCTCGGCATGTTGTTATAGCATGCGTGTCATTTGTGTCCCACCACAGCGGAAACCTTACACTTGGAGAGCACTAATGTTAGTCCTTGCTGCGTCTTCGGCCAAAGCAGCCTATTCAATAAAATCTTCACCATTTTGAAAAGCACGAGCGCTGATCCATTGGACTCTTAGTTATGAGCGATCCTCGGATCGATGAATAACGCCCATTCACGAAATCACTCAGCTGAGTCAGTGTTAAATATATACAGAGCCTACTACCGAATTTATCTATAACCTGTATTTATTCTTCGCGAGCGAGCTTTATTGTTCTACAAAGCTGTATAGAATGCATGAAAAAGGCCATTTCAACTGAGTACTTCCTGCCAAACTGTTGACTGGAACTTTCCGAAGAGTTCTGTGAAACTTCAGGAAGTCGCTCTGGCTCGGAGTATAAGCGATGGAGTTGACAGTACCGGAGCTACAAGAGTACCCTATTCAGGTCTTAGCCACCAAACACTTGCTTTGAAGGCTGCCAGAACATGCCAAAAGACTTGCGTCGAACGGCGGCGCGCATTAGAGAATGTACGAAGAAGAACAATCAAAAATAATTTTAAGAAGCATCAACGAAAAAATGGAAAGTGTGGGCAGTAATATTGCAAAAGATGTGTTTCAGCAAAAATTTGACTTTGAGACCGAACTTCTAGTGCTGACTCTATAATTTGCAAGATGTTGAGATTTGCTTTCCGTTTTCAAAGAAACTTAAATGAGCAGTTTTAGCAGAACCTTTTTTTCGAGAGACGATTAAAGGGTCGAAGTCCAATCGCTCGACCGACGAAGACTTCGTGTAAGGCCTCTGACAGAGTTCACCAGATTTGATCGTCGCGATTCAACCGCCGTGATTTCCATTCATTATTTTCCATTCAAGAAATTCGGGCTGGAAAAGTATCACAACCAAAATGCAAGCTGGTCGGCATGCAATGAACTCGAAACAGTTGTCTTGTCGCGATTACGCGACGATCAAATCGCGTTAACTCTGCCCGAGGCCTAATGTTAAAATCTGCTACGATCATTTTTGCTTATCATTCCATTACTCGCTTTTGCAGAAAGTTATAACGTCTGGAAAAAGAGTGTCTTTTTGACGTTTTCTTGGGTTTGACCACCAATCATCCTGTGCAAGAGAATCCAAAATATTCGATAATAAGTGTCAGCTAACAGGCTTCCCGCTTCGGTTCGCACCTTCTCCACTCGTACACCAGCACAATCACAACCATGTAGTTGAACCACAATTCATCTTCCACAACCTCTAGGCAAATTGCCTCCACAACTATCACAATGTTGACTTATGGGTATGTAGCTGTGTCGCCGTTGACGCAGAAAACATTGATGACTCTCCACTGAGTTAAAGGCCGTCGATACGCCAGTTTTCCCAAAAAAGGAATGCTTTAGCATAGATAGCATCTCCGGTTAGAGGAAAGAATACCTTAAGCGCCATCTCCGCGGACCACTGATCTTTCGCACTTCTTAATGTGTAAGGTATTACGACCAGCAGTCCGTAGAAGCTGCGCGTTAGTCGTTTTTATAGTAAAGTCTCCCTATATCATTCTGCTAGGCTATGTCCACCTAAGCAATATTGTAATCGTGTACTCGAGAGAGAGGTTGAAGATCAACTTCTGGTGAAACGAAGTCCGAAGTTCGTAGAATAAGAAATGAGGCGTCTTCTTCCCGATAAAGTATTATGGGTTAAAAATTGACTAACGCAACTTCTTTAACTGCAGTCCGTGACCGTTACCACGTAGCCTCGATTTTTCTGCCGTTTTCTTGAATGCAGATGTGAATAGGGCGACTGGTCCATTGAAGAAACATCCTCATAGAGAAACATGGGTGCTTCCAGGTGACCTTGCGGCTAGTGACAAAGCTATGGCTGTACGATGTAAAGATCGAGTTCTTGCCCGGACACTATCTTTAGATCCCACCTGTGTTTAGCATTGGGAAAACAATACGAAACTTCTTGCAAAACAGAAATTTAAGCGACTCTTCCATTGCAGAACTTGCAACACAAATGCAGTGCTACCAGACAGTAAATCTCACCGCGCGCCAAACTTAGGACGCATGCCCAGCAAGAAAATCGCGCAGCGACTAGAATCGCGTGATATCCTGAGGCCTCAGGCACCTTCAGCGACTCCACCGCAGCGATCCTCATCGCTTGGGCATCGAATGCCTCGGCGTCCAGTCGCTTCGGGACTAATCGCATTCCAATCATTTCCGGACTAATCGCATGTTGCTCATTCCGGGCATACCTTTTACGAACTCGTAGCTCACACATCACACCCGAATGAACGCAAACATTATGGAGTTTTTGAATTCATCTAACACCTCTCACTCCCTTTTAACACATTGATCTCACGACGCTAATTAGGCTCGTAGACGCTTCCGCCACGCAACGTCCATTCCACGATTACTGCTAGGCTTGGTTTGAATCTCTGACTGCGGCACGTATGGCTATCTAGCAAGATGCAACAACATCTTGCTCAAGGATGGGGGACGGTAAGGAGGTACGATCGGCGCGAATTTTTCACGAAGCGACGCCGCTGCGCACTTCAACCAACCAGCACCAGCACTCCTGATGCAGTATCACTTAGGCCATCATCACGTATCTGCCTCCCCCCACTCCCTGTGTTTTTGCTGCCGGTAATCTCTCGCAATGGAGAGTTTTGTGGGTCACAAGATTTGTACGTGGCGGGCGCGGGAAAGGGTCGCCGCGAGCGACGTAATTCCTGGTGCAGCCCTCAGGGAAGGCAGACATCACATTGCCGCTTGTTGCAAGTTGCCGACACATTAGCCACCGTACCGCAGTCAGAGATGCAAACCAAGGGTAGCAGCAATCGTATAGTAAAGTA